CTTTGCATGGAAATAATTGTCTTTCAGGTAAGTGGATGTGCCAAGACATTACGCCCAGTCATATGTTTGTTTACATTCTGGTAGTTTGTGGTGGTGCCCCAAACTGAGTGTGCCTCGTGTAGGCCGTTTTAGCGCCAACCATAAATGTAAAAAAATGTGGAATAATAGCACAAATACATGTATATTGAAAAGTGGAAGTAAATAAAAGCACATAAAGAGTTTTTAAATTCAAAATATTTCAATTTGTGGTGCGAAAATGTTAAAGGGCTCAACCACCATACTGATTTCAACCTTGAATAGCTTGTATTGTGTAATTTTACTCTGCCATATGTAACTTTACTATACTTTACATGTAGAAAGTCAATTGTGACTTTTCAGCTTTAACCATTCAATATGGCGGACAATACCGCCTTACGTCATAGTCACGTGGGTGCAAATAGAATATCAACATGGCAACCGATATGACTTATAATACGTCCTGTATAGAACTAACACGGGCCTGGTTTATACAATATAAGAGAGTGCCTTTCAATAGTACGTACAGTGGACGTTTCATGTGGCACGAAGTTGGCAAGAGCAGATGTTTACCTTTAGTAAAAAGTCAATACTTTTCTCTTGGCAACTATAAAGGTGACTGGTGCTTTTGTGTTGCCGGTAAATTTATGTTGTCAGTCGCGGGAACAGTAACCCTTTAGTATATCGGTAATGACCCACGCCGAGGTGTATATGGTGCCAAATGTGAAATAGGTATGTTTACAGTACAGTTGAAGGGATAGTCGATTACAACGGTGGATATAGGAGGGGGTGGTGGTTTATGAGTGTTACTTCTTGCCAAGTGTAGGAACAACCTATAGGTTGGATGACAGGTCAATCATTGAAAACAACTGGCTTGGAGTTAACGTTTCTCTGTTGCCAAATCCTATAATGGAAAGTTTATTGCAAATTCGTGCCCGGAGGCTAATTGCAAATTACAAAACATAAAAGAACAATGAAATAGAATATAAAAATAGCTAAAGTCTACATGATAAAAGTAGCTGTCTAGAACTATAACTATGTCTAAAACTATGTCTGAAGGGTTTGACTTCTCTTCTGTAAACCATGGAATACGTAATGCCCCACCTTTTCCAAAATTTGTGGGTTTTGGGAAGTTAAAAGAAGAATAGTTTAATATAATAGACTGAAAACTGTAGGTGTATAATGCGTGCACCTGTATGTGACAAAAAGGCCCTCTAGGCGATTTCATCTCTCAACTGGCACCGGAAAAATTTTCTTCCTGTTATTTTGTTTTTCAAGACTGTTGCTCGCAAGAATCAGGAAATGAAAACAAATACACATCATCAAGGACATGTCAGATACGTAACAATTACGTCCTTACAAAGTTATTTCTAGAAGAAAGGCCATTGGTGGGATCATACACTACTGTACGAAGCACATGTTCCTTTTGCCAAACACAATTACGTATACCTATTTTTTTTCGTTTAAAAAACTACACTATTTACGTCATTGGGCTTTGAAACTCCCTGTTTTAAAACGTAAGTTTTTTAGTCAACATTTACAGTGCTTTGATACTTGGTCTTTAAATCAACACCGTGTGTTAGGACATTTTAATGAGGACACTGAAACTTGTGCTGTAACTGTGTCATAAGGTTTTTGCCATTTCCTCATAACCCACTATGCAGGTGAATTTTCATGCTTAAGCTTTACAGTCCGATTCGTGCTTAAGTCCAAAATGACGCCACCACTTTGAAAACTGTGTCATAAGGTTTTTGCCATTTCCTTATAACCCACTATGCAGGTGAATTTTCATGCTTACGCTCTACAGTCCGATTCGTGCTTAAGTCTAAAATGACGCCATCACTTTGAAAAATGACCCAGCACTTAACGGCAGCATTTGAAAAGCATCCCCCAGTGCCCTTTAACGCACTGTGCACGTGAAAAGGACCGATTACTGAACTAACCCTCCGGAATGTACAAATGACAGCTATCGACCCAGGCACAAGGTAGCAGCACACAGTATTCTTCCGCGACCCCCGGAGACGATGACGTGGGGATAAGAAATGAGTGCGACAAACAGCTTGCACCGCTTGTACACAGCCTAACGTGGATGACACCGGGACATACAAGTTACCGTATGGTACCATAATATGTCGGCTTTGATATCGCATAATTGAGATTAGGAAGGCTGCTCGATCGGCGTATAAATGCGCGTGACCTTTTCGCTGCCTGCCAGGGTGAGTCGGCTGCAGTTCCGGTGCGCTCCGCAGGAGGCCATTTAAAAGAGGTCGGCATGATGTCAAAAAACGATAACTTTTTGTACTTTTTTGTTATTTTGTACATCGTACCCTATATTTGAACATATTCGTTTCTCGTGCTTTTCTATGGTACCCTACTGTATTTTTATCCGAGTCGAAGTCAGTCACTTCCGGGTCCTTAACTATAGAAATCCCCATAGGCGAAAAACTGTGTTCTGCTACCACAAAGGTCAGTGACCGCCCTTGACCTCTTCTTCCGCCAATCATTTGGGGACTCTGGTTGTGACCATTTTTGGCGAAAGAAGTTCTTTTGTTGTGAGTTTGTTTTTCATTCTTCGCGTGTTTTAATCTTGAAAACAACGTTTATTGTTTGAGACATTTCGTCTTTAGGATAACACAATATATCACTACATCTATGCTGCAATGTTGTAGCCTTACAGCTAACGCTAGTGAAGGTATGCATGTAATTTAAACACACCCCGTCCCTTCATAAAGTTTAGTTGTTTTTACCATTGGTGATATCTAGATTTAATCTTTGTCTTCCTTTATATTTGGTTGTAATAATGTTTCTCAGCGGTTTTTCTCAGCGTTTGTAAATTATGTATATTATAGAAAGTTATGTGTGGCTCCCGAACTTTAGCCATCCGGTTGGTTGGTTGGTTGGTTGGTTGATTGGTTGGTTGGTTGGTTTGTTGGTTGGTTGGTTGTATCTACTGCCAGGCTTCGGGTGGCGGCTGGAAAGAGTAGAAATTTAGAGATAACATGCCGAAGGACTTGATTAACTAGAGAGTACAGTTCGGGAGCGGCAAATTGTACTCTCTAGCAGACCAACTCCCTCGGCATGTTATCTCTCCATTTGGCCAATTTCTACTCTTTCGAGCCGCCCCCCGATTAGGTTAACGTTCTGGGTTTGTGACAGGGTCTTTAGCCAGGCTGTCTGCCAGTCTGTGTGCCCAGTAAACAGTCCTGTCTTACGGCTCGGAAAACTCCAGCTGACTGAGCTTACCGTGGCCAGGGTTTTCCTGTTCTTCTGTTGACGTAACACCGGGCTACGTAAAGTCACAAGTAGGTGTGGCTAGGGCTGTACCAACGCAGAACTTGAGGGGGGTAGTCAGAAGTTTCAATATATGGAAGAAAGGATTGAATTTGTCAAGGCATTTTAATACAATGAAAGACCCTTATTGTACATTTTTGCTCATTGCGAACTAAGTACAGGTCACGGCAAATAGCAATGGTAGACTAAAAAATATCTATAGTAAAACTACATATGTACAGGTTCTGCTTCTTCTCGCTTCTTAACACAGTTGTAAATGTAAGAACAGGTGGAGCTTATAGTACGAGGGTTATCGAGTTTCATGAGGAATGTGATACATATATGAGGAATTCTTGCATACAATTATTAATACAGTAGATAGACAGGATGGAATAACCACTGATTCGCCCTCCTTTACCAATATATCTTATAAATTGATTTAGTTAGGAAAAATCTAGAGATTGTATTTCTTCTTTAGTAGTTCATATGTAAATGAGACATGATATTGAAATTATACATGATAATCGGAATATTTGCATAATCTTCTTGATGCTTATGAGTTTATATATACCTTAAAGCAATTGCCATAAGCTGGATGGTTTGAAAACAAAACAGGTAAATACAAACAAACAAACAAACAAACTCTAAACTAGTACACAATTTAGTGTCCACAAAACTGGTTTTGAACCAGCTGAAACCGGTTGGCTTCATTGCAAGTAAGAGATCCGTTAACAAGACAAAAACAAACAGGGCCCAAAATAGCTTAACTACGCACTTATCTCCACAAGATTAAAAGCCGACTTACCGAGTTGAAATACCAAAGATTACTTAACTACAATCTACTGATAACTGGAGATATACGACTGAAGGTACATAACTAAAAATAGGCACCATGCCGAGAATTCTCATGTGTTAAAAATGTATAGTTCAACCATTGAACATTGTATATAGTAAAAGTATTATAGTGATCTTCATAATCATTGCATACATACATTCAACTATGAAAGACAACGTTTTAGGAAATAACGTATTTTGTGCTTAACCTAAGCCTGCTAGGGTAGCCGCTTGGCACCAAATGTGTATTTGGTTATTGGGTTAGGCAGCAGGGAGAAGGTTATTAATAAGTATAATCAATTGGAAAAGTGACCTACAGGGCATTCAACCTTCCTAATCTTACCCCTCAGGCTCTGACGTAGATTCAAAGTTTTGACATATCCTCAACTATTCTAAACATGACAGACGTCATTTGCACACTGTATTACCTACAACAACAAGACGTAGAGAATGCTAGCCCTGTCCAAAACTAGGAGAATTTTATTTGCTATGTTTGAACCCTCATATGCCTACTATAACGATAGTGAAAGCACTGTTGTCCTCTAAATGTTCTCTATGTGGGATTACAGGATTTTCAAGGTATCATTGGGTGTATATATTGTGATACGGGAATGGGAGTAAGTGATTCTTTCTAAGCCTTTAAGAGGTACACAGCCAAATAAAGGCTTACCATTGGCACATTATTAATTAGCAACATCGCCAATCATTTATTTGACCTAATTATGTGATGATTGTATGTTGCAAACTGAGCATGATTGAATCGAGAATCGAAGCAATACTTGCTTTTAACTGAATGTAAAGTGCTTCATAGTTCGAAGGGACATCGATTTTAAATAATGATTACAATTTACAAATATTGTATCTTATTTTTTCCCACACAGAGCCCAGTATCACAAGAAGCAGTGACGACACACCAGAACGACCGGAAGTACTAGTAACTCATCGCATCCGGGTCAGACGCGCGGTGTCCAGTGGGAAATTCCTGGTGGTACCTGTGCCCCCCCTCCCCTTTATATTCATGTACCACAGATGTACCAAATAATGTAGTTCAATGACGCTTGGCGAAAAATTGTTATTCTAGCTTAAACTTTTGTATTGCAGGACAGTCTACAGTCTGTTTAATTGATAATCGAGAGCAAAGAAAAACAGAAACACCTGTAATATAGATAGATATTACTCTCATACTTTGAAAGTTGGTATAGAGAGAGACAGCTTGAAGTATTCTGTATTATTGGTGATCATCTTAAAATTCTGTAAATCTTTTTACTAAAATTTGTGACGTCATAGCTATGGTGTTACGTCATTTATACAAGCTTACAATGACATTTGTATTTGCCGTTACTTTGTACTTTTTCAAACTTAACGTCGTGTAGTCATCAATAATTATTAAATCCTTCACTTGAGCAAGAATCTGTGACTGAATACGGATTCTGATGGAGTATGAGCGCCGTCTGCCGACATATTTGATAACTGCATGTCAAAGCCAGTGCTGTAAAATGTTCATGTGTACATGTGGAATAGGTATAGCGGCTAACGGCAAAACGCCTATGATGATAAGATGATAGTTTCCTTGATGTTGATGCCTAATTATAACTTTTCCAGTTCGACTGTATATTAAAGACCTAGAATGTAAGATAATTACCATAATTACAGTGGAAATAGATTTGATTTATAAAATAGATAATATGTCATTTTGCTTTTTGCTAGGGTAAAATGAAAAGATGTAAAGTGCTTGATTCGTTTTTTTGTTGTTGCAGTACAGAGAAGCATGGAAAGTTTAGATGTAACAACCTTGATTTTTTTAAACATTACTTTCTACTTTACTTTTATTTGAAATAGATTTCAGAGATTATATTTGTCAAAATGACAACTGGCATTTATGTCTAGGAGCAAATATTGCTGAAACATTTACATTTGCACTAGCCTGGTATCCAGTCTTACGTGATTGGGGCATAGTAGTTGGGGTGTTCAGGCAGGCTGTGTCCTCGGGGGCTCCAATAGCTTTCCCCGCCCAGTGCAACAGCCGCTCCGGCAGGAGTTTTGCGCTAGAGATGGCATGCTTGGGGATTTGACGTTCGTGAAATACCCACCGGGAAACCTAGCTGAGGCGGGCGGCAAAGAGCTCCTGCAGGCCCGAGGAAAACCCACCACTACCACGTAAGACTGGGAATCAGGCTACATCTAGCCTGGGTGCCAAACCCATAGCACACTGGACACAAAGTATCTCAGTGAGCCCGGGCTAGGCTACATTTGCACAAGCCTACTGCTATTTTACTACTTGACGATTTTACAACAACCATGTCTAGAGCAAAGCGATTTTAGATACTCAATTATTGCATTTTCCATACAAACTGCTTTGTAAATCAAGAATCAGTACAATACATTTATATTGAAGACCGAAAATGTTTTATTTCTTTATTTATTTGTCATTTATTTGTCATAAAACACAATCGGTTGGAATGTTAATTAATGCAATGTACATGTAATGCCCTATAGTCTAAGTTTCTATAAGTTAGGTGAAATTTAAGAAGTTCACACTTTGTATCAATATATCTGGACCACTCAATCGACTGGAGTTGGACATCGTGTGTTCACATTGCAGACTGCAATGCCGGTGGTAATCGCCATGTGACGTGCTTGAGCTGTCGTTTAAACTTGAATAAAACACAAGAAGACACACATATACACAATGTAGATAGGATATGGGAACACACAACACAGTGAATAAGAAAATACGTTTTGTTTCCTTCAGCCCTTAGGCGTATACAGTGCAATTTTATTAGTTTAGTATTTTACTAGTAAAATTGCACTGTATACTAATACAATTGCACTGTATTCCGTAAAATTGCACTGTATGTAATCACTACCCCACCCCCCACCCGCACAAAGCCCTCCTTTAATATTGCTTTCATCTCATACGATGCAATGTGCAAGACCGTTTCAATAGGATGAAAGTAACCTTGTTGCTATGTGTTGAAACCCACATTGTGGTAACAGCAAAATGATAACGGTACAGTTTGTTGCAAAGGATATGTCGGTGGGGAGGGGGGCACCCAGCAAAGACTAGAAGAAACCTCTATCAGGGTGTGTTCCTCTAACACCAACAAAGGAAACCGCACCAAAACCGACTTCCCGCGTACACAACAAGGTATTACCGCTCCGTCCTACACAAGAAAGACAAACCACTCTGTCCACTTGACCCGGCCGCCAAAATAAACCAAGACATGGCAGCTACACCTTCCCAAAAGGAAGCAGTGAGACACCATACACAAGGCAATGGGTAACCTGGTACCCAGTCCATCGCGACTGGGGCGAATTCTCTTCGGGGCTGCTGAAGCTCTTCCCCGCCCGCCTCAGCTAGGTTCCCCGGTAGTTTTTTTTCACGATGGGATTGATTAGCTTATCAACTCCTGGCGTTCAAAACTCCAACAGGCGTAACACTCCTACCGGGTGGTCTGTTGAGCTGGACGGGGGAAAAACTATTAGAGCCCCGAAGACAGCCTGCCTGAACCACGATATACTGTTTACTGGCGATGGGGAGGGGGGCAGGTTGTAATGTATTGATATCTCCCTACAAAATGGCGCAACGGTCCCCCTATATACACAGTAACTCTACTCCTTCGTAAACTATTCTGTCAACCGTCAAAATGACTTGCTCAGCCAGCCAGACTATCTTTTATTCAAACATTCCTTAAACTATCATTATATTTTCAGAAAACACAAGATACAGACTTGCCCAAAAAGATACGCTTTTTAAGTATCATTTAACTAAAGGCGGTTGTATGATTTAAAACTTAGGGCATTCATTCGTGGGATAGTCGTGCCTGTGTCTTGTAAAAGTCCGCTGTATGTCTTGTGACGAAAAAGGATCTACGACATCATGATCGTACAATAGCCTACGACGAGTGGGGTCTTGTCGTAAGACTATGTAGTACGATTAATCGCATTAACTCTATTTACTTTCCCATCATTGTCCTCACATCGGATCTTGTTAGGGAGTGGGAGGGGGGCAAAATCTCTCAAGATTTTACCTTCTTTTTACACAATGTAGAAAATTCTTGCACACCCTTTTCCCATATTTTCCCCAGCGAGAAAATAAGGTTTATTCTATGGCTACAGTATATTATCCCCTTCTTGCTTTATCAAAACAGAGGCATTAACTAAGACAACGAAACCACGGGACCACCAAGTGGAACACAATCCACGCCATTGTTTCTCGCCGTTCAGTGGAAATGGGTGGAAGGAGTTTTCATCCCCGTGAAAATGTTGGGATGAAACGTTTTGCTGAATATACAAACAATGGTGTAAACAGTTGGTACAAACTCAGTCAGTCTGATCATAAGGATGTCATATTTGTAATGATTTTAATTTGTATTTTGGGTGATGACATCACATTTTTTTTTAATTTCCAACATGTAATCACAAGACGTGGTGCCGGCTCACTCAAGTTTTTTCAACTTATATTAATGCCGCCACCAACACAGGGGACAATACAATACTCATTTTCATCTGAGCGAAGTGAGGAAAGTCGTGTAAAGTGCCTCGAACCCGGGACCTCTTGATTTCGAGTCGAGCACTCTGCCGCTACGACACAAGACCCCACATTTTTCAGAAAAACATTTAATTACAACATTGCGGAATCGAAGAATACGACACAACATTTTTTAATATTCTGTTACAGAATTTCTGAGCTCTAGCTTGCTAAATATACGTGTTGTTTTGGTATACCGGTAGTGGCAGTATCAGTGCTAGTTTACCGGCTTTCCTGACCGATATCTCCCAGACCGTTCCGACAACACGTCGGCGCCTTCACGGCCCGACCAGGCATGCCTCCCTCCTCATTAACCTGTAATCCCCTGTCACGGTTTGATTGTAGAAAAAACAATGTCAACTCATCAACTCTAGTATTGTACAACCATAGCACTCAGTCAAACACCATTTCTCGTGCAATCGCAAACGCTAATATTACTCAGTAAAAACTTGCCACCGCAGCAAAACGTTACCTGTGTAAAAGACTTAAAAACAATAGATTATAAGATAGAAAATGTATTTTTGTCGACAGGAAGATAAATACCCAGTGTTGTGACAGTTAATTTCCCCCAACACGAGGAAGAGATTTAGACCAGATTAAATTTCGTTATCAGACAGGGTGTAGCCAGGACAGGTCTCATGAATTATAAATCGTTTCCTCAGTGATCGAACAACTCTTGCAAAATGTAACGGTCAGAATTTAAGAATTTAATAGATGTCAATTGTTATCTAGAAGTAACATTGAAATGCAAGATTTGGATGCAGAAAAGACATCCCTTACCTGCTTGTAGACCTATGTATAATTTGATTACTTTTCTATTGTTCGTGTTCGCTACAACGTGTGCGAAGGTATCTTAGGTCTTGAAGTTCTAAATGTAGTGATCTCCGATCTGTTATCACTTGTTGTTGTTGTTCTTACTCTAATAATAGTCTAATCTTAATACAAAGACATTGATAAAGTTTTCCCATAAAAATAATTTTTTTAAGAAATGAGACAAAGTTTATTAATTAAAAAGCGTAGAACTAGCACAAGTTATCAATGTCACAACCTGACGGGACAAACTAAACTGCTAGAATTAGGAACAAATTGAAGATTATTTGTAAAAAGGTTTGTAAATCGTCGATTTGTACTTCTTCTGAGCAGGCTTTAGAATTGTTCTTGACGTTGTCTTGTCGAGCTATCTGCAGTCAGATATCTAAAATTACAGCTTTTCAGATAGAAAACTCCACAAAACAAAAGCCCACTATTACTTGGAGAGTAGAAATGTGTATAGTTTTCCTGTTCCCGAAGCACTTCAGAATGAGTGTGATTATTCACACGGTGGTAGATCAGCCCGATAACGGCTAGAGACAACAACTGCCACCGTCCAACGGCTCCTTATCTCACCGCACTGGACAGTTCACCGGGTCCGGACCAACCCTGCGGCGGGCGGACAGGTTTTTAGCACCGCTTGAGACAACAATGGTTCATCGTTCAAACGTACGGACTGTGTCTGGAGTGGTCAAGCTTAGCTCTTTGAGAAGAGAATTCTTAAGTTGAGCCCCGGGCCTGTCACACATTCAGAACCGTCCCCCGACCACCAACCAATGTTGGCTAAAGTTCGGGAGAACTCTGGCCAGATTTAGGCAATGGCAACCTTTCTAGATGAATCAAATGGAATTTGAGTTAAATTTGACCCCCGAACACGCCCGAATCACTGCCGACCTATTCCCTAATACCAGCCAACTACCAGCCAACTATAGCAGACCCTTCCCCGTTCACACCCGAATATCTTAATTTAAAACTTTCACCGAACAGTAGCCGACTTCGCCCCACACCAGCCAAACAAACTGGCATTGCTTCTGACCTACTGCAGACTAACTCCCGACTTACTTCTGGAGAAGTCTGGCCAGATTTAGGTCATGACTACCTTTCTATATATACGAGTCAAGTCGAATCTGAGTTAAATTTGAGTCAAATTTGACCCCTGCACTCTGGTCCCGAGCACCAGCCAGCCACCAGCCAACTATGGTTAAAACATTCGCCGAACAGTAGCCGACTTCGCCTAGTACCAGCCAACCAGAGCTAGCCTGGAGAGAGCCTCCCGACGAGCTTCCGACCTACTCCCAACCATCGTTGTGGGGAGTTCGGCAGTGTTCGTGAGACCATATTCGGCTATGTGTGATGTGACAGGAGCTTGAGACAACAATGTCGCATCGTTCACACGTTCTGCCTGCCCCTGAAGTGGACATCTATCGCCCCGCCCGGCGCTTTGAGATGAGAACTTTAGTGACAGGCTGTTTAAGTGATGTCATCGCGTCCTACAGTTAAGGACCCTTCAGGAAATGAGCCATGTTTGTCAATCAAATACCGATCTGGTGACGTATCGCTTCTGTTCTGGGTACATACATGTACATGTATACCCGGCCCGAATATAATTTCATTAGGTTGGTGAATGATTGAATAGCAAAGTTCTTTGTTAAAAATGAAAATATCTAACATAATGTAATTAGCTTTACTTTTTATACCTGTGCACAGTTGGTGGCGGTATAAAGATAAGCTGAAAAAATATGTCTTGTAAAAAATCTTGGAATAAAAAAAGTTGCAGGCGCAACTCACTTGAGATATCAAACGTTTAACTCACAGACATATCACAAAAGCTGACAACATAGTTATGACATGTTACCTGTGTGTGGTGATGTATTTCTCAGTATATAGTATATGTACAAAATATCACGCCGGTATAAATATTCTTACTGTATGTCCATGTATTGAAATTGATGACCGATATTTGTAGATCGCCAGCAAAAACTTAAATTAGTTCATGGTAGTATCTGTATTCGCAATGTTGCCTAAGTCTGTACAGAAATATTACTTCGTCTATATGTTTGTATAGAACACAACACTAAAGTCTGCCCATCAAGTGTCCTAAAACTACCAGAAAATTAACTAAATAGTAAGATTGAAGACGAGAGTCATTTTATTGTGGACTGTACTCTATATAATAATGAAAGATTCTCTTCAATTATATACAAGATTATGTCCCTAGCTTTAGATTTTTAGACAGAAAAGAAAAATTCACATTCCTCATGAAACTCGATAATCCTCGTACTATAAGCTCCATCTGTTCTTACATTTACAACTGTTTTAAGAAGCGAGAAGAAGCAGAACCTGTACATATGTAGTTTTACTATAGATATATTTTAGTCTACCATCGCTATTTGCCGTGACCTGTACTTAGTTCGCAATGAGCAAAAATGTACAATAAAGGTCTTTCATTCATTCATTTTAAAAAGGTAGACCTGCGTCTTCAGTTCTATCTTGTGGTGTAACAGACCGGTTGACAGTGTCCGTTCATGAAGCTAAAGTTTACACTACTCCCCAGCCTCCCTCAATAAGGCGTGTGAGAATAGAGAGGGTGAAATTAGTGTTTTGGTGCGTTTTCAGCGCTCCCTGACCCTACCCGACCCGTACACACTACCGCTACCCACCGCTATTCTTAGCGCCGAGTTCCCTTGTCACAAAGCCCTTGTTAAACACGCAGGTTTTCCACAAGGGTGGCGATCCCGACTTGTTGCTCCATTCTCCCCGCTACCTGTTTTGCCTCGGCTGAAAAAGAATACGCGGTATCCCCTGGCTATTGTACAGTGTGTGCGCTCAATACAAACTCCGTGTTGTCTTGTTTTGGGTGCGATTGTTGTCGGTTTGTTGTTACTGCGGGACGCGATTCTGGACTTAGGCGTTATTTTGATCCGTGGCATTCTGTAGTCAACCTTACCAGTTCAATCACATGTATACCTTTACCTAATTAACACGTTTTCCTCACAACTGTATCTTAAATATCGCGAATTTTGTTTGAGAAGCTAGTAGAAAAGCTCTAATCTTGGATATAGACGTGAAAAAAGATACAACAGTGGCAAACAAAGTCATGAGCGTCCTTGGCTATTCGTGGCTTCGAAAACGTATCCTAGGGCCGAAATATTGACGCTACAAACATTGTCATTGTCAGGGGCGGGGGTACACCAATCGGCCAGACGACTTTCCCACCAAACCTACCCCGTCTAGCCATTAACTCTGGACATTCTACCGTTCTCAGTCGGGTTCTGAGGCGTATCATGGACGATAGAACGCCCCACGCGGGTTCTATGATAGCCCTGTGGTCGCTTGAATCACAGAAAGGCTCCTGTCTTTTCATAAAATGATTTAACACTTCGCTACATGGAGGCTGTTGATACAAAAATGTTCTTCTCTGAAGTTAAAGTTGGCAAAACATTTCTGGAAGTCCTAGACTTCTGGAAGTCAACATGTGTATGTTTCGCTATAGAGCAAGTAGGAGAATTGAGAAGCAATCTTATAAGAAAATAACTTGGAAAGATTTCACTTCAAAGATAGGGACAGAATTCCCCATATACGAATAGTTTTAGTTATAGAGGATAAAATCTAGCTTATAAGCAAAGCAACAAGCAAGCAAAACAAAGAAATAAATGGAAATATTGAAGCCATGATGATGTAGAAAACGGATTTTAATTTTCAACATGTCATTCAATTTTCAGGCCATTGGCAGAAGAAGATATGTCATAATATTTCATTTCATACATGAAATAAAAATCCTGCCGCTTTTAGTATTTCTAAAAGACTGACTCTTTTATAAAATGTAAATTTAAAATCATACAACGTAACAATTTCTAGTATGACCTGCAACAAGTAAGTCTTCCAAAAGAATTTAAGATACGATTTACAAAGTAATTAAAAGTAAAAATACTGAGTTGAGGTTTAAATACTCGTCCAAAATTGTATAAATATATACATTACTAATATTTACAATTGGTAGAAAAGATCATATTGTGACATTCTCTGTTGGAATTTTTTTTCTACGGGTAACGGTACGTACAAAATGACAGCTGAAAATATTTGTCATGTAGCCCCTTTTGCTAGAAAGAAAGTAAGAAAGTTCTTTCAATACTAGTACATGTAGTTCAATCTTTCTTGCTCACCGTTAACTGCACAGTATGAAGACTTCACAAAGACGAAAAGTACTTCTAGAAGAAGATATTGTCTTGTGTTTTCATTTATGGTTCTTTCTCATCTTGATTCTTTGCTGTTCTCGGAGTCGTCGGAATCTTGCTCGGGACTTCTCGCGTCCAAGTCGTTAGTTTCCGGAGAAGCCGAGTCCTTGTCGTCGACAATGCCGATCCTCGTCCGATGATTTCCACCTTCCTCTTCGTGCAAAACTTTCTGCAGCTTTTTGATATATTTTATCGCCGCTCGTAGAGTCTCGACTTTGCTGAGTCTTTTGTCTGAAATGTCTGAAGGGAGGTGTTCTCGGAGTCTTGCATATCCTTCGTTCACACACTTAACTCGCTGTCTTTCTCTCTCGTTTCTTTTTCTAATAAAAGCCGGTTCGAATCCGTAGTCGTAGAGCCCGTACGGTGAGGGAAAGGGTAGATAGGGCAGTCTACCGCTGAGGTAGGAGTCGTGGTACACCGGGTCCAAGTAGGATTCTAACATCGGCGGGATCCCCGGGACGTCGTCCGGAGGTAGGCGGGGGTCGGGGTACCCTCCCGGGAGGCCCGGCTCGGAGGCGATCGGTATCCCCAGCTGCAAACACGTCGGGGTGGAGTAGGGCACCGGGTCGTGGTGAGGCTGCTGATCTTCGTCCATTGTCCACAGCTGTCTCCCTTTAAAATAACACAGTATCGCACGGGTTAGATATTGGTTCATACCTGCAGGACGGTAGCACCGTGGGTGGTGGCATCGGCCAAGCCCACAGACAAGGCAGACATACCAGGTCGAATTTACCGTGCTTGCCCGTGAGAACGTCGTCTTTTGTCCGGGGAATATTTAGCCAACACGGGCGGATTTTTCCACGTACGGGTTCTCACCCCTACACCGTCACCTCATAATATTTTCCACCTGGCTAAGAAAAGAAGGGTCGAGACTCCTGCTAAGTGGGCGAGTTAGATCGTCTTTCCGGACGAGGTGTACGCACGGGGGGAGAGAGACGGGCGGGCACAGAGAGCTCTCTGTCCGGGAGAAAGACCGAGACGTACCGTTTATACTCCAGCTTCACGCCCGTGTTGAACTACACACAAAAATGGGAAACGTTGTACTTGAAGGGTTATCCAAACTCTTCCTCAGGGCATAGGTTTACTGTCGTGAACTTTGCGACCTGAGTTTCTCATGGTTTCATCTCGCTAGTTCCTTAAGAACGACTATCATAACAACAAGACATTTAGCTTTAAGACATCGCGTCTTAGATGATTTCGAGTAACTTCAACAATTAACAAATGCAAAGGACGAAATTCAACACACTTTGAACCAAAATACAGGTTCTCTTTTCCCTTGTAAGATCCTATATTTCACACTTGAAAACGGCATACTTTATTTTTACGGGGTAAACACCTGTTGTGGGCAGTGACCGTCTTTAGACGGCTGTGAATATCTCGGTGCATTTAGTTTCCTATGTACAAATTGGCGCCTTCGAAGTGATGAAAGATTGGCCCTTCCTTTTCCGTTAATGTTTCTGTTCTCTGTAAATACAGCTCTAAACGTTTTTGTTTTTGCTCTAAACGTACCTTTCTGAGCATTATAGTATAGCTCTGCCTCTTATAAAATGGCGTTTGTTGCGAGGAATAGCCTTGCCCTTTTAAAAAAGAATGCACGAGCATAGAGAGGGAACACTTAATCTCGAATTCCGGGCTTCATGGAAAATATACCATCCTCCACGTAGGTTTACTCGACAAAGAAAGGGGCTACTTGTAAGCGGGGACCCTGAACGCTGCGGGCCACTTGTCGCTTTGTAAGCGATCTGGCTTCAAACCTGCGCGGCCCCGGTACGAGAGACAACGGTGCTGCACGGAGAACAATAGCCGGGCGAGGGAGGGTGAACAGGGTACACGTACGGGACAGAAACGTACAGCAACGGGCTTGACTCTCAAAGGCACAGACAACACGGTAAACAAATACAGAGAGATAATGTCTACATACAGTTATGAGAAAGTAGAGAGGGTGAACAGGGTACACGTACGGGACAGAAACGTACAGCAACGGGCTTGACTCTCAAAGGCACAGACAACACGGTAAACAAACGCAGAGAGGTAATGTCTTCATACAGTTATGAGAAACTGGAGAGGGTGAAACAAGAAGCTTGTAGGGAAAAGAACACAGTACACACGTACGGGACAGAAACATACAGCAACGGGTTTGACTCTCAAAGGTAGTAGACAACACGGTAAACAAATACAGAGAGATAATGTCTTCATACAGTTATGAGAAACTGGATAGGGCGAACAGTGTACTAAAAGTACGTCTACTGGACAGAAACGTACAACAACGGACATGATTTTCAAAGAATAACAACACGAAAAACAAATACAAAGCACGTTGATGAACTTAGATATTTAGGTAAATAAGATAATATATACGCCAAAGAACAGCTAGTTATTCAGGCAACTAGATATAACTAGTGTCCCTGACGAAAGGTAGCTAGTGGATGCTACCTGAAATGTTTGACTGTTTCCAAAATCTTATCCAGTTGCTTCAGTAACTGGTTTTGGCAAATATAGAGAGATCTAATGTCTTCATATAGAAAATCTTCTTTAAGCATCTTTACGGATCTTATTCCGTAAAGGGGACTTAAATTTACAAGGTACGTGAAACCAGAGGACGGCTTAAATGGGGCAAAGTATTTGTAAAATGAATTCTTGCCGCGTTTTCAAATCATGGATCATTTGCATTGACAACACAACACAACCACCTCTTAAGTGCTCAGCACCATCAAAATCAGTACTACTCGTTTGGATATTCTACTGAGCTAGTATTCTATAACAGAAAAAAAAAACAGTTATTGTAGATAATAATCATAAAGCTTACCTCTTTAAAAGGCTGTTGCCTTTTTTGCAGCTCGAACAGGTGTCAAAAACACGCCACTGTATTGATAATTTTGCCAACGACACTTGCAAAAACTTGAATTTGCAGGCGAAAGGTTTCTTCTTCCCTCAACACATGGTGAGACGATGTTGGTGGCAGAGCGATGTTTGTAATGTTGATTTCACACGTATAAGAACTCGCTGGCACAAGCGTAGAAATGAGCGGTTGTTGCGCGTATGAGTTGTACATCCGTGTGCCGTCCTCTAACCACGCTCGGAGGGAATGAAAGTGGTTGGATACATTGATTTTCAGGGATAGGCGGGCAGCCAATCCCAGGGTAGCCGCCGGGAGGGTTGAAGAGGACTCGGAGGTAAAGCTGGCGTGGCTGATACAAATCCCGGCCAAGCAGCGCGTGATCGGGCCGGGGTCGGGTTACGGGTTGTGGCGTCGCGCTGTTACCCTTCACGGATGGGAGGAGGGCAAGAATGGAGCTCCGCCTGCAGGATAGACTCGACAACCAAGCGTTTAGATAAGCAAACGACAGTTAGGCGTGTCAAACATAGAAGCGAACGGAAAATGGTACAAAATAAAATGGTGCAATACAAAGTTAGAACTTGTCGTATGATCGTCGTATTAATGTCGTATAATCGTCGTACGATCGCAAACAGAGCGTATGTTAGTCGCTAGATAGTCGAGCAAATGTCGCACAACTTTCATCAGCTGATTTAGCAATACAATACTTTATCAAAGTGGTGTATCTTTATGTTCTTATGCGTATTCTTCATTATATTTCATAACAGACATTGAAATAACTTTTCGCTACCGTCCTAGAAAATCAGAGTCTTGTTCATAACGATTTTATGTGTTGGGAATGTATCAATAAATATTCATTTTTTTTAAATGCCATGTCTCGAACACAAATTACTAGTAGTATGTATCATAGGAGTGGAAATGTTTGTACTTGACTTTCAGCTTTCACAAATTCAATTGGGTCTTAATTATAAAGTCCAGTGCCTTTCCTTAATATGAAGATTGGGTGTACTTTTGTTATCATTCTTCATACAGATGTAAAAGGCTACATTAAACCTTCTGAAGTCGATAGCATAGTTATTACGTAAACGTGCACCGCTTCTTCCCAATCACTGAATGCGTAAAACTTGGGCGAAGATTGTTGAAGTGGTAATCCGTGTGATTGACAGACAAAGGACAGGCCGTCAGGACAAGTGGACAGGACCATGTGCCGGGAACTGGACTGTCCTGAGCCAAGATACACTCTAGCCATATTCTGTGTGCGCCACAGTATAGGTTAGCTTCCTTCATAGACTTGTACATTTGCGCGATCTTTACACGAGATTTTTTTAAATTTTTTTTATTTTAACATTTTGTGACTAGACATGGTGACGACACAGTTTTTTTAACTTATTTTATGCCGCCACCAACGCAGAGGACAAATACAGGATAGGACAATACTCATTTTCACCTGAGCGAAGTGAGGAAAGTCGTGTAAAGTGCCTTTCCCAAGGGCACAAGATCGGTGGCATGTCAGGACTCGAACCCGGGACCTCTTGGTTCCGAGTCGAGCACTCTGCTGTTACGACCCCTAGAGTTTTGCCACAGAGGGAAGGCCAAAGTTTCGGCTGTAAGGGACGAACAGAAAAGCTTTGTGAAAGAAAGGTCTAGTGAGTCATAAAGGTCTAACGCACAGAGCTTACTACACAGAGCTAATGCAAAGACCTTATACTATTCAGTAGCTTGGTGCGTTTATGCCTAAAGGCAGTTTGATAGTTGTGTGAAGGGAACAAAGGAAATGGTTGAAAGTTCTGTGTCGTTAGTCTTAAAAAAATCCACCTTTTTATCATGTATCTGTACATGGTCGTTTTGTTTTCATATCTCTGAATAAAGAGTATATACAGACTGCCTAAGCTCTCATCTTATACTGTCTCGTCTTACGTAGCTTGTACATTCAAAGTATAATTTACAACAAAATTAGTTACCGGTTGTGCGAAACAAACAGAGAAATGTTTGAATGTTCTGTGCCTTTAGCCTTCAAAAAGAAATCCACCTTGTCATGTATCTGTGGTCGTTTTTTGTTTTCATATCGCTGAATAAAGAGTTTTGTTCCCCTCAGGTGTTGCGGTAGTGAGCAGGTCCTTTGTTCATTGTCGCGAGGTGGACAGAAATGGTTCTACAAGTGTCCGCCACTTCAGCCATCAAGACAGGGCGAAATTAGCCCTCTTCTCTGCCGTGTCGGCTTTTTCATTCGTCATGCCTTTCGCTTGTACAATGTGCTTGAGGGCTGGAGGGGGCCTAACATGTCAGTAAACACACAGACAAAAGCACTTCAAGGGAAAGTCGCGCAAACACAGTCAGGTTTGACTTCTGGAGTCAGGGTAGTCCAACAGAAACATAATCTGGTTTGGTTGGTTTTCCTTTTATGCCCACGATCATGATAATGATCATTGTAGCATACTCATTTTTACCTGAGCGAAGTGAGGAGAGTCGTGTAAAGTGCCTTTCCCAAGGGTTGATTCCTTGGCAGGATTGGAACTCGGGACCTCTTGATTCAGAGCCGAATATTGCTCCGCCAAACAACGTCAACCCCACTACAATACTCGTATCTTTACACCACACTAGTAGTTTACTAACAAAATGAGAGACTGTGCATTTTGGGGCATAAATGTACGTCTCTAAACTAGCTTACCACTCAGAAAATAACACTTTTAAGAGCGGAAAAGAGCGTAAAAAAAGGCGAATTAAGTCAAGTCGTGTAAAAGGACTCTCACTGAAAGAGTTATCAAGATTTCTTTTCGAGTCTCAAACAGGTTGGGTTGAGAAAAACGATACAATGCTGCGAGGAAAAGTGGCGGGGCGGCGGCGGTTTGAAGTCGGGAAGAGCTGCGAAGCCAAAACACTTGAAGAACGGCTTAAGTCCGGGTTTACCTCCACGTGAAGAGAGAGACTCGCAATACGAAACCCACGAGAATAAACTAAAGGACGTGCCCTGGATTAATTAGGCTTTCTAAATCTCTTCTCTCCGAGTCACAACCTAATTTCTACATGCGTTCCTTTGAATAATATCCAAGCAAAATACCTGAAGATTTAAAAATGATACAATTATGTAACGGGCTATTACTCGATTTAAATGAGACTTGAGAGCTGTCAAGAAGTTCCTTTTCATCAGTGTAGAAAACTCGTTTGGATCTCCTTATGATAAAAGTGGTGGAACATATTCATTGATAAGAAGTGTCCATGTATACTGTTGAGTCCTCTACATTATCTCTTCACATCCTCATAAAGTCAACAAACGAAACACATCGACTCTTAATATCACTGAACAATTTTCCACGTCACTTCACACACTTTTATCCAAACGTGCTCGTACTATGAAGATGACAACTTCAGCCAAAAAAATTGTTTCTCGGAGACGTTGGAGAGAACTGAAGGACCCGGGTTCGAATCTCGGCGGGGGTAAAAACCACGTCGTCAAGCCTTGCGACATTGTCTTTTCGGTAAGATTAAAAGATTTTTTGCTTTGTTCTCGGGCGAGGCTGGGTGTTTAAAGGCAGGTAGGAGAGCCAATATGCAAACACTTCCAACACAACGTTGTCAACGGCTTCAAAATGAGTGAAAGTCTCGTCGTAGTTTACACATGGCTCAAAACTCTCTCAAGCGTCAATTAGCGCCACATTCGCGAGCACCCGGGCTAATATTTACCTTTCTGAAGCATCTCTCCAGCACAGAAAGAATTCGGGAAAGTCGTTTGTAGCTGGGCGGATTTTTGGTACTCAAATTTGACGCGCAAAAGGAAAAAAGTGTCTGGTTTCATTGTGTGTATTAAGCGTCATGGTTACTATAATGTTTTTCCTTTTACAATACATTACTTTGCAGGGAAATAATATTTCTTGTGGTAAAGATAGATGGATGGATACATAGATGGATGGATGGATGAATGGATAGATAGCTACGGATAGCTAGATAGCTAGATAGATGGATGGATGGATAGATAACTAGATAGATAGATAGCTAGATAGCTAGACAAAAAGATAGATAGATAGATAGATAGAGATAGAGATAGATAGATAGAGAGATAGATAGAGAGATAGATAGATAGAGATAGATAGAGATAGATAGATAGATAGATAGATAGATAGATGGATGGATGGATGGATGGATGGATGGATGGATGGATGGATGGATGGATGGACGGACGGACGGACGGACGGACGGACGGACAGACAGATAGATAGATAGATAGATAGATAGATAGATAGTGTAACAAAGTAAAACTTGCATGAGAACACTTATATTCACTTATATATATGTCAATGTTAGAAAACTGATTGTACAACGTTTCATCACTCAGGTGTCAGATCATGGAGCTAGAAAGGGTCGATCAGCTCAAGCAAATTCATGTCCCTTGCAGGGGTCTACACCAAAAAAAGGCTAGGGTCGGCAGTTTTTCTAGGGTCGGTCGGGAAACAAGAAACACAGCATTTAAGGCCTTACTGACTGTTCAGGCATACCACCACCTTCTACTTCGCCATTTTCCTGTCCACTGGCGAAGCCATTTCTCAATCAACTCCAAATCGCCAGACCGTTTCCATGTCTAGATCAGGTATATAAAATATCTCCCGGCCGATTGTTTGGGAGACTAACACACACCTTCAGTGGAGGGCCGTGTTTATTGTGGCTCGAACCCTTGAAGGTTTGAGTCGCGTGCTCTCCAGGGGTGTTTACCGAGGTAACGGCCAATTTGGTCGGCCCGCGGGAACAAGGCGTGAAGTGTAGCCGGGTATACACACAGGCACCGCCCGGTGTCAGGATACAGGAGGACGTCAGCTCCAAGCATAGGGTGCCAGAGTTTACAGTGCAATTTTACGGAATACAGTGCAATTTTACGGAATACAGTGCAATTTTACGGAATATATATACAGTGCAATTTTTCGGAATACAGTGCAATTTTACAGAATACAGTGCAATTTTACGGAATACAGTGCAATTTTACGGAATATATATACAGTGCAATTTTTCGGAATACAGTGCAATTTTACAGAATACAGTGCAATTTTACGGAATACAGTGCAATTTTACGGAATACAGTACAATCGTATTATTATACTGTACAATTTTACGGAATAAAGTGCAATCGTATTACTCAGTGAACGTAAACTTTTCATCGCCGATTCCGAATTACGTTAAAGTCTCATGGCTGATAACGAATTTACGCTTTGCGGCTAATTTTCTACTAGTATTACTAATTACGTTGATTTTTGGGGAGGCTGCCTACGGATTACGAAGACTAAAAACTACAGGATATTAATCTATTAACGGCAAGGTAACCCATCTTTGGCATGATATCATGAGAACGCCCTCTACGTGCGGCCAATAGAACTGCAGTGACGGAAACATCGTGACTTTGATCGCCAAATCTGCAGTACCGTTGGTAACCGCGAGTGGCGCTCGTGAGTGGAAAATGCAGAGTAACTTGAAAAGGATTTTTTACGGCTTCATGCACACACAAATATTTCCAGACACAACATAACTAATTCATAATGAAATTAGACAAATATGAGTATGATAAAAGGACTTCAATGAGCTACAAACTTTATTCTAACTACATGTATGTAATGAATAAATCAATTGTATTGAGCATATTGAACATAGCATAGTATTACAATATTTACAACAGCTTTCTCTTGTGATGTCGACACAATTAATTTCATTTCATAGATATTTGGTAAAAATACATATTTCACGTCAGCGTTACGTTGCGGTGGGCTTTTTAAATGGCGGTACAAAACAGATAGCTGCATAGGCACGGGTAGTGCATTTACACAACATTGATGTACTTATACAATAAGTGTACGAATGACGTCGTTTATTAAACATCTGAAATAATCTCAGATCCAAGAAGCTCATCCAAGAAATCGTCCTCCTCCTTCTGAAATCGAACATAAAGCTAACGTTACCTACTTATATATGCCTGTAAATGTATATATCTTTTAGTAATGGTAAAATATTTTCCATTTGAAAACGTGTCAAAACCCATGTCAAAGTTTTACAATGAATCTTTAATTATTATAGTACTATGCTAAACTTTAGTCCAACGCATGAGGTACATATATATAAAATAAATCAAGTTTAGCACTGTATTTTTTAACAACTCAGATGAACTTCTAAGGCGTTTCTACTTAAGGTAATATATATATAAGAAATTAAAGAACTTACCGAGACAACATGAAGCGGTAACCAGTCTAGATCCACCTCTTCTTCCTCAGTCTCTTCCTCGTCTGCAACCGACGACTCCACCGGTGAGGGGCTAACCTTGTCCTCGGCTCTTCCATCATCCGACCCCCGTAGGATTCCCTGGAGCTTCTCGATGTACTCAATCGCCGCTCGTAGCGTCTTCACCTTGGATAACTTCTTGCCCTTCGGCGCCATAGGGACCAGACTTCGGAGGCGTAGAAAGCCGTCGTTGACTTGTTGGACCCGGCGCCGCTCCCGTGCATTTCGCCGGGCGACCATGAGTGGTTCCTTCGGCTTGCCCAGCGCCTTACCCCCGAGAACACTCCGCATCGACCCGCTGTTTTGTACCAACTCTTCCAAATGCGCCATTTGAGGATGGTGCTGGTAATATTGCGTCTGAAACGCCGTGTTTTCGTAATTTCCGAAACATGGCACGTTTGGAAATGCCGAAGCTTTAGTTAATAAATTGTTAGCTGAAGGGGTAAAGATGTTGACGTCCATTCTGAGCGTATAAAAGTGTTACGCCGCGTGTGTTGCGTATGATAAAAAGAATCTCAACAGAGCTCTCAAAAGCCTTGCTTCCTCAAAGGGAATTAAATCTAACTCTTTCCCTTCCAGCGAGTCTTTGTAGGGATCCCTACATGTCAAAGGGCCACGTGATATCAGGAAATACGCAAGGAAAGGAACAAAAAGAGGGAAATCAACAGCGTTTGCAAGATGGCAAAGCTAAAGAAAATACTACTGCCTCTCGATATTCAGTCAGATACCTGTATTTTCCTTTCATATACTAGTATGCAAAGTGATAGAAATATACATAGTATTACCACCACAGGCCAACAGTTAAATGGTTTTATTTAACTTCTTATATTCTTTTAAAAAGGGTATGTACGTAAGAAAACTTCTTTTAATCTTTAATATTTCAGTCTTTTTATTTAATGGTAAGCTTTTAGTAGAAATGAAATGTAAACACTACCTATTTGTACACCGCTTTTTAAGACGAAAAGATAACGACAAAATTACGTTACCAGAAACGTATTTTATTTCCCCCATCAAAAACCGGAAATCACAGGAGCGTGTGCCGGAAGTGGGATACTCGTTTGCACGAGAGGAGCAGGTGGTCATTATTGTGATGAAGAAGTGGTCATTATGTCAATGATCTCTTTCTATCCCCAAACGCATCATTGATGAGAGTACATATGTTATGATATGATAATAATATAATAATAAACGTATATCTTAAATACAAGCGTTTCTCGTGCTATTTTTCTCCAAAATCATATTACAATCTGGTATCATCTAAGCATGTATGAACCCGTCTTATAGAATAACAGTTTATTTGGATAGATGAGCATTGTGATAGGAACGGTAATAAATAATAAGTCAAAGAAATATAAATGATAAGAAAAATCGTAGAAGATCAATGATACACATTGATATGTAGCTCAGGTGGGCAGTTTTACAAAAAAAATACTGCAAAAACCGTTAACACCAAAAAAATTGTACCTAATTTTTTTACATAGCCATCTATTGATCTACATGTACTATTGTCAAGAACAACAATTAAAATGGAAGAAGGAAACTTTATTTTTATATTTAAGAAATAACAACGTAACTAGAAAGATACTGTGAAATTTTCAAGGTTATGTCTTATAACTCGCACTTTGGGGCATGCGCACTAATACCGGAAACATCTGCTCACACATAAAGATCCATAAAGTTCAGAAAAGATCCATTTCCGGTGGTATATCCGGTCTATATAACCACTACAATACTGGGCTTATATTGTACATGCAACGTATAGAGAAATATCAAACACCACGAAGAGATTTTTTTTCTGAAATTATAATGAAAGTTCATCCCTTTTTATAATATACTACCTATCTTACTATCTACTGTTTTTTCTGAGTTGATTGATTTCCTGTTTTCAGCGTATGGTACGCTGATACACATACATTTTCCCTCGATTTTCTCCAAATATCTAACTATATTATTGGACATCTGGAATTCATACACTTAGATTTTAGGTTGTGAAAAAAGACTTTTTTTTCAAAACCATTATATATATAGAAAGAAAGTTAATTACTTGTGTGGTTGGAAGATAGGCCAAGGAGAAGGAAAGTTTATATTAAGTGGTAAATTTTTCTACAATATATCGTATGCTTCACTTTCAGCACAATGCAACATTGTGTCTCGAAGCCGTATGCATGGCGGCAGTACATATATATTCCACTAGATGTCATTTTCTCATATGAAGTTTCAAATGAAGGTATGAACTCAATCCAAGTAGAGACATGGTTAAAGTTCAACAAAACAAGCTTAAGATATGTTGGCGTCTTTTCTCCTTCATCCATTGCTGAGTGTCTCTCGTAGACGGAGATTTCTGCTGTTTTTCGTGCAATTTTTGTTCTCACTTCATTTATAGTTCCTCTTGTTCGACCTCTACCAAACACTTGTTTAATATTACAGGTAAATATGCTTGATTTATGACGCTAACCTTTCAAAATGACCACCTGTTTCTTTTGTTGAGTAAATGTTACGTCAGCCACTCCCCCAATAATTACTACCTTTCTGTGTAAGCTCGCAGGACACAGTAATTATGTGAGACCCCGGGGGTCTATGGTGACCCCGTATGTAAAATACGGACCAAACTCTTGATAAGTTTTATGTGTGAGGCAACCATGTATAAACTTCACTGTTCGGTTCAGAAATGATAGAATATCGGTTGCGAGACTGTATGATTTGAATGTGATTTTTTCTTCATTTTCCGCGAAAACCGTCATTTCAAGTTATGAGAAGGATGCACTTTAGTTTACCTCCGCAATGTGTCGTTTAAAAAGGAGCCTCAAATGCCAATGCAAGATTAAAAGCAATTCTGTTTTGTTTTGAATTATCTTATAGACCCTACACTTATAATATAACAAATATATCTTTGGTGCGCCCTACTGGAATTTTAACAGCGTCGATGTCAGTCACCTCTCATAACCATGCAAATCCCTACTACAAGCAGGGTTTGGGTTTGGGCTTATATTTTGCGTGTTTTGTGGCTTTTTCGTGTGAAAAAAGATTCCAGTGAAAGAAGAAACCCCGATAAAAAAGCCTAAAAACACACCAAAAATAAGCCCAAACCCAAACCTCTGCTTGGAGAGTAGCAAATCCCCACAGGCAAAATACTGTGTTCTGAGTCCTTCAAATAGGTCTAAATCCCTACTAGATCTATAGAATTGCAAGACAACTCCCAACCTACACAAATGTAAAACGCGATTATAAAGTTCTTCAATCAGCTGAATAGAAAAAAAACATGCAGACAATCTGATTTCTGAAGCCAAGTTTCGTGTAATTTACACCTGAACAATGTAAAATCAGGTGCCATGTCTCTGATTGGCTGAAGACTCAACATCCGGGACATTCGTGGTTTGTTTTCATGCTCCAGTTCTGGACGGTAGACAACAAGAGCACAAGTATTTAAGCTGCGAGACACCTGCTTTCTTCTAGACGGAAGACTGCACTGCTAGTGTGAAAGGTAAGACTTTTTTGTTGTTCTTGTAACTTATTCTAACAGTAAAGCCACTGTGTATGCATAGCCGAATATGGCCTCCCGAACACAAGCCGAACTCCCCCCAACCATGGTTAGGAGTAGGTCGGGAGCAAGGTGGTTGGGTCAGCTGGAGTTCGGTCACTTGGTCGGCTACTGTTCGGCTGCGCCAGCCGACTGTTTCAGGATATTTAAAACTTTGTGGTGCAGAGGGAAGGTTCGGCCATAGTTGGCTTGTGTTTGGGAGAAGGTTGTGTGTGGTTGGCAGTCAAATTTCAGTCAAATTTCACTCAAATTCGATTCGTATAGAAAGATAGACGTGGCCCTATCGCCAACTTAGTCGGCTGGTGTTCGGGGGAAGGTTCTGAAAACTATCACAACTATTGTTTGACTTGTTGAATCTTCGTAGCAGGTAAAGTTATGATATATAGAAGAAGAATATCTTGAAAGGTTTTGTTGTGAACCTGTATAAAACCTATTCCAAGCCAGCCCCAACTTTTTTTAGGTTAGCCTCCGTAGCAGGCTCATAGAACTGGGGTTTGGTTGTCTTCGGCTGTTTTCTGATTAGCCCAGTTCTAAAAAAATGGGGGTAATTGAACCAGGGCGGCTATGTTGTCTATATGCAATCAGAAAATAGCACATAAAAGCTCCCAAAGACCCTGGAGACCCCCCCCCCCCCCAGTTTTTGGCATGCTATGGAGGCTAAATTTAGGTCGATTTGGCAGTAAGTACTAGTACTGGTTGTTACTATGGCAAGTTAAACTCAGGGGGACTCCCCAGAATAATGAATAAGGGGACCAATCTAAACAAAGATATTTCTAACTCTTTCTAGTGGCTTCAGAATGATGATCAGGCGTTATGTAAATGTGTCCAAGCGCATGCTTGAACTTGCCGTGGTCAGCAAAAATGTAAGTGTGAAAAATCTAGGCCAGGGATAGCCTTACGCAATGTTCCACCATCACACGATACTTTAATTATAGTCTCTTTGTGTACGATCACTTGATAACGAAGATGAAACCCAGTTCTTGTTTTTCTTAAAAACGACTGTAATTTTTTTTGTCTCGCTCAGAGAATGTTGGATTGTTTACTTTGTAGTACTGTGTACTAATGCTCTACTTAGCGATCTGTATAACAGGTGTTTGTTTATCTGATGTCCCGACTAAACCTTTTCAGATAATCTGTTGGCATTTCTACTGCATTCCTTTCGTGGTTTTAAGTTACCAAAGTATTTGCGTTTACCTAATTGAGGACAGTAAATGTTCTGAGAGTTCCCTCTGTTGTTTAAACTGTGGAATAACCCTTCTTTTTAGTAAGCTTTGTAATCATAGCGCCTTTGGCGTTATACCTATAATGCCTTTTTCTAAAGGTGGCCCATTTACAAACCAGTACTTAACTGAGTGGCCTTATGTGTTACTAAAGCTTGCTCAAAGCCATAATCACTAATCATTTTATGATGGTTTCTCTTAATACCCTTAAAGTCGTCGAAAAAAAGTAAAATCGTGATGCTTTTTTGTAGATTTAAAAACAGATGCTACAGTGCTATTGTAAAATGCTACAGTATTTAGTACAAAACGTTGCTTGCGACAAAAACCGGTCAAACCACCCTGTCAACCACTCATTGTTTTGCCCTGGATCGAATGCAGAGCTAAACCTTTTTTTCTCAAGGGACACAGCTTACCTATTGTCATTCAAATCTTCATCAATTTTCTCTCATCAATTCTACCTCTTGTGAGTTGTCAGGATTTGTTTCATTTAAATTTATAACAAAGGTAAAACTACGAAATTCCGAAACCTTTTCTTTATATTTTCACACACATGATCTGTAGGATTTGAACATCGTCTATACGTTTGATATCTTTACCTCAGTACACAGATGTTTAGTTTTCGGTGTGTGTGTTTGTGTGTTAAATCGCGTGGCATTTTTCACATTAGACACTGACAATAATTTGGGTCAAAGGTCCCAGAGAAGGTTCATATAGGTCAATATATACATAATGCTATACAAAAGGGAAACAGTGTCATACTATCATAGCAATGTGAAATGTAGTATTCCATCATAAGATGTACATGTATTAAATGATGAAATTAGTAGTACTACGCTAGTAGATTATAGTTTATAGTTATTGAGAGTTATTTGCAATACATTGTTTCCGATGCTACTGTTGCACAACAAACCTTGAAATTTCCTGTGTACTATGTATTTTGTTTTTTTTAGGAATAAACAAATGTAAAAATTTGAAAACAACAGATAGACAAATTCACGATCATGAATAAATCTAGAAATTTACAAACCATCTAAATATTCAACGAGGATATGAGATCTTTGATCTTTTTTAACTATGTTTTATATATGACTTTTTTTTAGGTAAGACGACCTGTATCTACCAAAGCTTGCAACAGGGTGATATCTGCAGTCATGGGACAGGAAGAGTCTAAACCACCTCCCCCCAAACTCCCCACCACCATCGGGGACAAGTTCTCAGACAAGGTGTTTCCCTTCGAGAACCTGGTGTTGGAAGGAGGAGGAGCAAAAGGAATCGCCTACATTGGGACTTGCAAGGTGAGTATCTCAGAAACAGTAATAAAGATGTGATGACCACTGTGTATACATTGTATAAGGAATCTATAAGGAAATACAAAGTATGCTGTGTGTAGAAATATCTAAGTGGTTACATTGCATGCAATCCAACACGATGCTAAATAAAGGTACAGTACAACTTGTATAAGAAGACCACCGTGGGGAACTATAGAATTTGGTCTTCTTGGACAAGCGGTCTTCAAGGTATCCAAAAAGGAACACTGGGTGACACAAGAAGACAAAAACACCAATTTCGAAGTTCATGTCTTTTACTTGTCTTCGTCAGAAGAGTATGTATTCAGTTTCGGTGTGGCGTGGTGTGTAGTTATGAGACTACCTAGGGATCTCTGTTCGTTTGAATAGCATCTTTAGGCGTGCCACACCAGTTTTGTACAAACTATGGAAGACCAGGTTGCTTTTATGTCTATACCTAGTATGCGCCTTCAAAATATTTCGTATTTTATTTCAAGACAATAAGCAGCAGACAATATAAACAGCGAAGAAACGTTGGCACACAGACAAACAAGCACACAGACAAACAAGCAAACAAATAAAACGCACTAACCGAAACTCTTGCTTCTGCCCCCCTCCCACCCCAGGTCCTAGAGGATGCCGGGATCATGCCTCAGATCAAACGGTTCGCCGGGACAAGCGCAGGCGCAATCACTGCCGCCCTGCTCGCCATCGGGCTTACGTCACAAGAGATGTTGGAGGAGCTGAGCGCACAGAACTTACTGGAAGTCGTGCTTGGTAAGTAGACTAGTACATTTATGTAATAAAACGCAAGAATATAAAAAAAAAACATTAACTTGAAAGGTAACATTTGCAAAGCAAATGCATAATGTTTACCTTCGCATATGGTCCGATCTGTTAATTCTTACTCAAACACATTCATATATATATATGGTAACAGGAGTCTAAATCCCTCCTGCTATTAAATTGCAACATGATGTAACCCAACACTAGCTACCATGGTAACAGAGTCCGGTTCAGGTCATTGAGGTGACTGTTTAGAGAAGAAGAGGAAACGTAGCAAAACAATTTGTTGTACTTCGGTAAACATAAAAATATATCTGAAAGCAACGAGAAGCAACATAAAATAGGCCTTTCATTTTGACTTTCCTTGTTTTTCGTTGTTTTCTGTTTGTTACACGTTGATTTTGGTTCGCTGTTGCGTTCTATTTGTATTTCAGTTATTCGACAGGTATTTAGCCATATGAAACTTTCTTTTACATACCATACACAGCAGGGTAATTTTCATACCCATAAGCCATTGGTACCCTGTAAATGACGTCATTTCCGGTTTTCCCAGATACCCGTTGGACCAAGTCCAGCTGGATTCCCGGCATGGGGAGTTTCGGCCGACTTTATGACGTCTTGAGAGCTAGGGGCGCATGCCCGGGAGAAAAGTTCTTGGAGTGGTTCGGAGACATCTTGGACAGACACTTGAAGAAACGAGGCCTGCCTTTGGATAAAGACGTCACATTTGACCAGGTAAAACAAAATATCTTACATATCAATTATTTCAAAACAAATGTTTTATAAATTATTTCAAAACTAATGTACATGTACTAACAGTAGATGAAAATAAAGTAATACAAAACATTCAATTTCACCACATAAATTCAATATGATTTATTTGATTTCATTCTTAAATGTCAGTTAGCCCTTAGACATCAGTTTGCAATGAAAATTAAATATATGTGTTGTATACCAAAAAAGCTAGTCTTTAATCTGAACTTACAAAGTGTTTTAAGTTAAAACTTAAGATCCAACACAAAAGAGTTTTCTCACCTAGAGCTTTCGACCAGTCACTCTGGTCTTCCTCAGTAGACTGACCCAGTGAGACTTGTCACGTGGCTTCTTGTAGTGTGACGTCAACACTGGGTCAAAGGTATCTAGTAAACTCTGACCTTTGTCCCTAGATCTACCATGTTCTGGGCAAGGAGCTGTGTATTGTAGCCTACAACATGAACTACAACCGGGAGTCATACTTCCACGTCAAGACTACCCCCGTTCTCAGGGTCCGGGAGGCGGTGCGCATGTCCATGTCAATCCCTGGTAAGATATGCAATCTTGTTTCATGTGTTTTTGGTTGATCATTTTTTGGTTGATCATTTTCTTGTATACACTCGTGCATTCGAGTGGATAAAACTAGTTCTCATTGCTTCATTTTGAAGTTGACAAATTATACATTTTATACTGTACTTAGTAGATTGGTATCATGTTTACGTCTTTGACACCAGTACATGTACATGCAATTTGCAAAGAAATCAACAAAACATTTTTTTCTTATTTCAGTGGTGTTCCAGCCGTATCAACTGGAGGGACTTTTCACCTACATCGATGGTGGACTGGCGGCTAACTTCCCACTCTACGCATTTGATGGTAGATATTTAATACGTATACAAATAAAAGTTTTCAATATTTTTTCTTAGTCTTTAATAATTGAAAAGGGAAGCTCTTAGTTTTTTCACCAGTTAGGAGCTTTACTACATTTTTGCACGGTTTAAAAGATAGTAAATATTTCACTGTACACATGTCTATAGCGCTCCTGTTCTCACCTAACATTATTAGTTTTAGTCCAATGTACGTGACACATCGTCATTATATTCATGCCATCGTGCCCCCCCCACCATTAAAAGCATTATTAGATTCTTGTTGTATGTAAAATTATGAGTCAGAACAGTCAATGGATTTTGTGATCGAATAATAATGTCTGTCTTGAATGTACTGTATTTTAGGTTGGTACCTGTCCATGGACAAGAAGGACACGTTCTACAAGCGGCTGAATGCCCTGTCGGAGACCGACGACGACCAAGACCACCTGCGCAGGGTGTTCTACCCCGAGTACAGATGGGAACGCTTCGAGAACGAGGACCCGCAACGGTTCAACAAAACTCTCGGCATTCTTATCGTAAGTTCAAAGATTAGAATGTTGCGTTGGTCTGTTTCTTTGCATAGTTGCATGGTGTGGTAAGGGTATTTTCAAGAAAAAAAGCTATCAGATGTCTCTGTTTGGATTCTTGGGAGATCGCGGTAACTGCACTACGGAACGTTTTTGTTTAACGCTTTTGTAGAAACATCAATTGTAACACAAGTAAAAGTGCCACACGCTTCTCATTTCCTGTGCCACTCTATTTGGAACTGAAGTTTACCGCTGCTTTTTTTTTCAGTTTTCCAACTCAGACCGGGAAGTTTACCAGGATCAGTTCCAGGCAAGGCTGACGTGGCTGATGCAGAAAGACCCCAGCTTCATAAAGCAAAGACCTGACACGGAGAAGGCCAGGTACTAAAAGTATTAATTTTAACACTAAGTCAACTTTATGTTACTAACGTGCAATAAACGTATTGAAGTAATAATTAAATACTTGTCTAGTAATTTTGAATGTATATGTTGAATGTAAATTTCGAATATAAATTTTCCCATGTAACACGCATGTAGCGCATATTTTCCATATATCAATTGTATAAGTTTTTGTTATTTATATTTTATTTGATTATTTGATTACTCCAGGAAGAAAAGTGTAAAGGAACAAAACGCTAATGGAGATTCTAATAAACAAACAAACAAACAAACAAACAAACACACATTGACATGACGATATTAATTCTGAATAACGACTGATAAATAAATTCTGCATCTTTACAGAAAATTTGCCGAGCAGTACAGCCAGCAGCGGACCGCAAGGGATGCCGGGATCAAGTCGTTCGAGACCCTGGTAGACGACCGGATGAGGACCCTGATCGAACGGATTGCCGGTCCTGACGTCATGGATAACCTGGACGGAGGCACTATTGAGATTCCTGTAAGTCGAACACTGACCCTTGCCTTCTCACTTCACTCATTCACGAGTTTCCAATACCCAGAATGCATTGCGAAAACAGGGGTTTAAACCTCATTTGCATAGGACAGGAAGGCATCGGAATGATCCTGGTGACTTTTTCACTATGTTTTGAGGTGTTGGGGTATTTTATGCTCAACATTAAATTACCATGGGTCGAATCTGACAACAAGTAGCAAGCTGTTTAACGTCTTGTCCTATGCAAATGACGTTTAGACCCCTGTTTTCGCAATGAATTCTGGGGATGTGAAACTCGTGAATAAGACCACTGCAAATGCGGATGACATCCTCCGCAGACTCCAAATCTAACGCGATCGCGCAAAAAAGGCGACCTCTCCCCCCAAAAAAGAAGATTTCTATATTTTGAAATTTTCACATCACCTTGTTAAACAAGAAATGATACCTATATTGTGCTAAGTTTAATGCAAGCTATTACAACATCCACTGTCATTGAAAAGTACAAGTTTCAATCGTTGTACGAAAGGTTTTGATTTGGTGGCAACATCACATATAAAAGGAAAGAAATACTTGGCTGTACATTGCAAATGAAGAGGTTGGAGTATGTTTTGAAGTGTTTTTCTTTGTGTATATTTTCCAGGAGGAACGACCAATTGTACCATTTGTGGTAGGGACCGGGGCGCCGCCGCCGAAGGAATCCAGAATCACAATTCAAGAAGCAAGGGAGCAATTTTTCCAGGTCTGTTACAATGTTTACTGTACTGAAGCATTGTAATTCATAAGCAAATACGTATTATGTTGTATCATCAGTTTCAACCACTGTTCCTGTTATAAAAGAGTTATCCATTCCAAGCTTCCGTTCTCTTTTCATATACATGTATATACAGTACACGTATACCGCAACGTATTCGTATAATTATAAAGTATGACATATATTTTCCGCATATTTTGAAGATACTCATTGAACAAATTCATTTGTCACGTATAGATATAGTTACTAGAGAATTCTATATTTCATCAGTGACAAGTTTTTGAAGGATAAGAATACTAACCTCCAAGTTTTCGATGGATATCATCTTGTTCAGTCTCCGGCCTAGTCTCGTGCTCTCGCGAGACTAGGCACTAGCTAGGCCACTCCGTGAACAAGATGGACTGATAGCCATCGAAAACTTGCAGGTTAGTATTCTTACCCTTCAAAAACTTGATGAAGGAATTCTGTAGTAACTCAAAATTTTCTCTTTTTTTCAGATCGCAACCGAAGAGGACGTTAAGGCCATGCAGGCACCGAGCAAAGAAGCGGCATTCCAGGCGTTGTTTCTTGATGTCAACGGAAAGGTACATGTTCATCGTAATCATTTCACCACAGTCAAAGTGTATCATTGCCTTCGTGTATTGAGGTTTTGTTTGTGGTGCGTTGTTCTGGCCTGTTTCTTTGCTTGTGTACTTATGGTTATATGAATATGATATGGTATGAATCTTTATTGCATGTTCTTGCCCAGATAGGCTAAAAGAACAAGAGCATAATGCAGTAATCAAAACATGGTAAAAAAACAACAACATGAGTATTGCATACTGGAACGCTATATTCTAATGCTAAGTGCTAGGAATCTATACATTACAACAATAATATATACTACCTATCATCTACTTTTAGTTGCCCTTAATAGAGTGCATACTACGGGCGTATAATAAATGTGGCATCGTGATCATGACATGAAGGGGGGTGGTGTAACCGCAGACTGACAGGTAGATCGAATTGGAGGTCAAAATGGTCCCCCCACAAACTGCGAAAAAGTCCCCCCACAAACTGCGAAAAAGTACGAATATGTATGATTCCAAGGCAATACTAGTACCCAATAAATGATGACGCTTTACACCATTTAGATTGTAACTAACAATAAAATTGTATCTTGATTTCAGATATACGCTCATTCTAATTATAGACTTGCTTCATTTAATCATAGTCAACTAGACTATAACTAAAGTTATTTTAACCGCATGTTTTTTTCTTCTTCAACAGCTGACTGTGGACAGGGTGCTGAACATGTACGAGAACTACGCACCTCTGCAGGTGGCCAAGAGAAGGGTTCTGGGAACGAGATCTGTCGAGTCGGCCGGGCAGTACTACGGTACTCTCATGGACTTTGTCGGCAGCAAGAACCAGATTTCTGTAAGCGCCTAGTGATTTCTTATCTTATGCCTTATGTGTCTTATTACCTCCATGAAAAAAATGGTTGTTTTGGCGTATCTGTGTGTCTGTGTGTGTTTCCGCAACTTTGTGGTCAGCATAACTTAAGAAGGCCTTGATGGAATGTGATGATGTTTGGTATGTTGGTAGATCTTAGGAGGACAAGGGTCAAGGTCAAATATGGGCTTTCTTGTAGCAGACCTTGGTACTGCAACAGAGCATCCGGTTTTGTATCTTTTGTCCTGAACATGCTATGGTCTTGACCTTTTGGTGACAGATAGCTTTTCCTGTAAGGAATAAGTGGTGTGTGTTTGGTCCCCCTAGCAGATTATTTACTTATTGGTTAAACAAGATCCAAAAACCACTTCAAGATATAGATGTGACCCAAATGTCACTCTAAGGTTACGGGTTACAAGAATCAATTGATAACAGCATCTCTTCTCCCTAGGTCATAAACATCATGATTGAGACAAGATGTTAATATTTGGCCTTCAACTAAATGCTAATAAATATGTATTTGTTCAGGAGAAGGACATAGACCGATGTATCGCAGTAGACGTGGACTACCTCTCTACCATGGACTTCGACATGGCTCCAACGGATATGGAGTTTATCATGACTGTAAGTGATATTTTATTTTTATCTGTTTTAGAATGTAGACCTACTGTAATTATTTATTTAATAAATCTATCTATTCGTTTTGGCTGACGATACAGACAAGTATGCCCAAACAGCGCTATAGGGGGCTATTACCAAAGGCGTTGCCTTGAATACGATACTAATGTCGTAGAATGCCGAAGGAAAAGAATATAAAAAAAATATGAAGAAATGAAAATGAAGAGTCTATTATTCGCCATACCATGCTCTGTGTGTTAAGTCATTTGTTCAGTCTTCATGACCACATATATTTCATAATGAAGGCAACGTTTTTGTCAAACTTTTTATTGGCACTTTCGCATCAGTTTTGAGGTTCCCAGAGGACGTCATCAAATCAACATGGCCTAACATGACAACTAACCCTAAACCTTCACTCCGATTTACAGCAAGGAGCGACTGCGGCCACTGCCTACATCATGGAGTTTGTGGAGACCGGAGGGAAAAGTATGGCGAGCAGAAGCCAGCTGCAGCCGCCTCCGCCTCCCGGTCAGGTCTAATCATTAGGGATCCAGGTCTAATCATGAGGTCACGGAATTCACATAGTCTCTACCAGACTCCTTCGCAATCTGAATGAAAAGGAATGTAACTAACTGGCTAGGGGAGTTAGCCGGCCATAGATGGTCCAATTTTCGTGCAAGCATTGGACTCTCTATGGCTGGCTAACTCCCCTAGTCAGTTACAATCATTTTAGACCGATTTCTACTATTTATTCAGCCTGCAAAGGAGTCTGGTGGAGACTAGATTCACCCTCGAGCGCATTCTCTATTGCTAGATATCGTCCTATAGCTCTAAAATGGAAAGAAACTCGGTTTCCCAGGTTTCTAAAGAGCATACACGGTTATAATGAAACAGATTAGGAACGATTTGCACCAAATTTAGGCCGGCTCTTATGTATTAGACCTTTCAACATATCCCGTGAGATTTTTTTTACGAGAAGGTGTATACGTGATGGAATCATTTAATCCATTTTATAACGTTTGAATTTCTGTTACGAATCTGCACTAAGATACCGGATATATATTGTTGTCGGGTGTTTGCTTCGGACAAAAGGATCCTAATTATATCTATAGTAAAATTTGGACAGGACTGTTTTGATGGTGCTAATGGGTTGTAGCTATATAATATAGGATGGAACTTGAACTATCTGGTTTATTATTTAGTTAACGGGTTAAGTCAACAATTGGTTATTGAGGTTTTTAGTCTCTTGTTAGTTTATTAGTAAGTTACATTTTCCAAATAACCGATTTTGTCACTTAAGTTAGTATATGTTCTTGGGATGTAATAATAAAACAATTTTATACAAATCCTTGTTATTAGACTGGTTCACTTTGTTGTCCTAGTAATAACTTTCAATGCAATAAAAATAACCTTTATTTATCATGTAATAGATAAATAAATGAAACGCACACATCTTTAATTGACTACTTTTTATTGCCTTTCAATAAAACAATGATATGGGTATTCAAACAATGTATTGTACTGTTGTATCTTTTAATATGCCCAATTATACAGTTAAATCAATGAGGTTGTGAATTTCTTTCCGTTCATTATGTCATTAAGTTTTGTCATCAAATACATTTCATCAAGAGCTTATAAAAACGTTAAATCGTATTTAAAATCAAATTCAAAAGTTTAATCGTATTCTAAATAAGATTGGCCTTTTCTCGAAAAGCTTTTGCATTTGAATTGTGCTTATTTATCTTTTGGCTATTGCCTTTCTGCACGTTTGGAAATTTACTTATTTATTTGATGTTCATTTTTTTCTAAGATTTTCAAAAAGAAAACAATAGGTAATCATTTTCCACTTTGTCACTATATCAGGCTTCTCTTACTACATGAACGACTAAACATTTACTGCTACTTTTTGCAATGAATATAGATATAATAGGTAAGAGACAAAAATTAGATTTTCATAAAGTCCATCTTTATGAATTGAGTACACTGTTGAAGATGAAAATATATGAGTTGAATGGTAACAAATCTCATGAAAAATGATAATGGAATTTTTGAACTGCTATGATAGAAATTTTGGTTTCTCAATGGTCTACACATGAAAGTTTTTCTCATATCATTTTTTATTTTTATTTTTTATTTTATTTTATTTACTTTTCATGCCCGCCTGCTCAAACTATTTTCTGCTTGCTTCAACTGATCTTCTAATTGTAATAAATGTAAATGCAAGAAAAAAATGTTTAAAAGTGACAATACCCATCATTGATACATAATACATTAAAATAAAAAAAACGACCAAAAACCTTCAACCCAACGTAGATACCTCTTGATTCCTCAATTGAAAACTGCATGCAGTTACTTATATTCAACCTTCAATCCAAAGAAGCTACATGATTTCGCCATCACAAAACTGTATGCAGTCTCGTATAAGTCAACAGTGGTCTTTGCCAATTCTGCATCATTCATGCATTGACGATTTTAGGAAATCGTCCACCAACATTCAAAGTTAAATCCAAACTAGCTCCTCACTGAATACAAAATTGTATACATTTTCATGACAAAGGGTTATAGAAATATTGGTAAAAACACTCAATCGAAAGCAGTAAGAGCTGTGTATTCCCTTTACAAAGTTCAAAGTCCACAAAGGGTGTTTGGTACGATCAAAGGTATATATTAAAGATTTCAGAAACAACATTATAAACTCTCAGTCCAAACTAGTTCACAAAATTGTCTGAATGCTCTAATTACTACAATTATTTAAAAAATGCACCGGGAATCCTATTTCAAAAGTCAAAAACTAACTTCACCAACCAAATTCCTTCAGTCCTCAATACAAACATTTGCTTTTCTTTTAGTTATTAAGTGTAGTGAAGAGCAGTTTTTTCCAGCATTAAAAACGTACATTAAAGATTATAGACATAAGATCACAAACTTTCAATCGGTCCAAAGTAGTTTCTAACTCCTCGAGACATTCTAGTAATTTTCTTTACCATGTGTTTAAGACACCGTAGGTGTTTTCTACCAGTAAAAGACACTTTAAAGATTCTAGAAATAAGACCACAAATTTTCGGTCAAGTCTACATTCCTCGATACAAAGTTGATTTTTTTTTGTTACTTTGGTCAGTGTCATTTTGGACTCTCGCAAATAAAAGCGAATTCACTCTCACATTTTGCATTGTTCCACTCGCCTCTCTTCCTCTTCTTGCCAAGAATCCAGTTTTTACCGCTCTGTTGAAAAAATAGCAAGCATTAAATTTTAGACGTGTTGTAAAGTTATACTGTAACTGATTTCTCTGTTTCAATTTTGTTGGAAAAGAGTCGGATCTAAGATCATGTATATGAATGGCATCCTCTGAATCCTGGGACAAGGCTTGTTTCGCTAACCATGAGAACAGCTGAGTTAAATTAAACAAAATGAAGAAAAGACAACGCGTACTTTGAAGTACATTCCGACACATGGTTCGCAGTTGAAGACGCCGAAGCATTTGGAAGGTTCTCTCGGAGCCCATCTCGCGTAGGTAAGCGGCGATCCATCCGGCCATTTCCATTCACTGCCGTGAAGTTTCAGTCCAATCCAGACCTGCGGGAGATTAAATGCTCCCTGGCCCTCAGGAGCTGCAATAAAATAGAACGACCTTCTTCTATTTCCATTTATTAGACGTCTTGTGATGCCACGTTTAACTTGTTATGTCTAAAGCCCCTGTAACACATGGCCGGAAACTGCATCCCGACTGCCTGACTCCATGGTGTCGGGAGCAAGGTCGGCTGGTGTTCGGAAGGTCGGCTACTGTTTCGGCAGAGCTATCCGAACGCTTCAAAATGTTTAAAACATTCGTGTGTAGGCGGGAGGTTCGGCCATGGTTGGCTGGTGGTTGGCTGGTGTTCCGGAAGTAGTCGGGGTTGCTGGTTAGCAGTTAGCAGTCAATTGAATTCAGATTGAACTCAAATTTGATTCATATCGCATGGAAAGATATGTGTCGCATAATTTTTTGTGTATGTGTGTGTGTGTGTGTGTGTGTGTGTGTGTGTGATTGTGTATACATGTGTAAAGTAAAAAATACACATGGCCTCTGTGCAACCCACCTGTAGAGGCGAAGTCTTTCAGAAACTTTTACATCCTGTTGCTTTCGGACGGAAGCGAGATTTGCACCCAAGTTCTTGCACTGTTTGTTCGCTTCATTCCAGCTGACTTTATGTGTCATCAGCTTGTAGCAGTTGTTGTCATGTTCCTTCCATCCAGCCTTACACTGTTTGACTGTAATGAAAAAAAGATTGAGGGATTATACAAAGGAGATTCCGACAAATTTCTTGAGAAAACTGGTTCTTAGAAGAATCCAGGTTTCAGTTTCCAACAAATTTCTGACAAATACAAGAAGTCAACTCTTGGCTCAGACCTACATGCTATATCAGAAAAAATTTGAATATAATGTTGTGAAGTGGTAGAATTACTTTCAAAGGTATTCTTTACTTCGTGACAATATGTTGGAAGTGTCTTACGTTCGTAAATTTCATGATAAGGAAAATAAATCCTAATAAAAGCCTGCTAGCCTTGAAAGATGTGACTTGCAGAGAAAACCGATACTCTTTCTAGCAAAAAAATTTAGATTCGCTCCCTGGGTAAATAAGAGAAGAAAAAACTTATTTCATCCAACCTTATTTGTTACATGTCTTGTAACATGTAAGACATAAAAGAAGACTTTTATCTTCATAATTTCTTTGCTAGCGTAAAGGTCTGCTTTGATGTCTGTGAATAAAAAAAACATTAATTCAATGCTTTATAGTCTTAGGTTACTGAAATTACATTCATTTCAACAAAGGTACTCTGTACTTTCGCGACTAATCTTCTTTGTTTACTCCAGATAGACTGAAAAAGAGATACATATGGATGATGTAAAAACGTGCCTATATTCAAAGAAAAAAGACACCACTACACACCTATACACAAAAACTTTTAACATTACAAAACATATGTGAATGCAGGAAATAAACTCGTGTACCTTCAATTTGACAGTTCTGTCCAGTCCATCCAGGTGAGCAGAGACATTTGTATCCTCTGAATTGGTATTGGTTCACACAGCTTCCATGTTTACATGGGTTTCTGGTACACTGGCTCATGCCTGTTTTACACGTAAAACACACATAGACGTATTGTGAATGAAGCGTGAAGAGATATACAAGAAATCAGTAGTGAATGTAGGAAATAAACTCATGCACCTTGCTGACAGTTCTGTCCAGTCCATCCAGGGTCACAGGTGCATTTGTATCCGCCATCTTGGTTCACACAGCGTCCATGTTGGCATGGGTTTCTCGTACACTGGTTCACGGCTGTTTTACACGTAAAACACACGAGTTATTGTGCATTAAGTGTGAAGAGATATATAAGAAATCAACACTTTCAATCGAAGTGAATGTATAAAAAAACTCATGCACGTTGCTGACAGTTCTGTCCAGTCCATCCAGGTGAGCAGGTACACTTGTATCCGCCGTTTTGGTTCACACAGCCGCCATGTTGACATGGGTGTCTGTTACACTCATTCATGTCTGTGTTACACATAAAATATACAGGGGTATTGTGCAAAAAGCGTGAACAGATATATAAGAAATCAACACTTTCAATCGAAGTGAGTGTATGAAATAAATTCATGCACCTTGCTGACAATTCTTTCCAGTCAATCCAGGAGCACAGGTGCATTTGTATCCGCCATACTGGTTCACACAGCTTCCATGTTTACATGGGTTTCTGGTACACTCATTCACGTCTGTGTTACACATAAAACATGCAGGGAAGTTGTAAAAATGTGAAGTGATATGTACGAAATCCACACTTTCAATCGAAGTGAATGTAGGGAATAAATTGAGTCATGCACCTTGCTGACAATTCTGCCCCTTCCATCCAGGAGTGCAAATGCATTTGTATGCGCCAATTCGGTTCTCGCAGCGTCCATGTTTACATGGGTTTCCGATACACTGGTCCACAACTGTGCATGGGGCAATAGATAAGGTACAATAAACATTTGTCAACTTGAATTCGTTCCCCTTCGTATATACAACATTCTACTATAGTCTCCAAGCAGATCTTTTGGTGGCTGCAAAGACATAATCAAATTTTCAGGCTGTATCCCTTTGCCAGACAGTTACTATTTGGCTGGCGAAATGGCAAAGGAATACAGCCTGCCAATTTGATTCTGTACGTCTTTGCAGCCACCAAAAGATCTGTTTGGAGGCTCAAGCAGCAGTCTACAATTTTCACGGGATTTGCTTTCTGTGTGGTAATATTATTGTGACAATAAGGTAGTATTTGATCTCTGAATAGCTTCTATAATAGTCCTGGCAGGGGAAGACTATCGTGTGCTTCCATAGACTGATTTTAAAATATAAATCAATTTACACACCGTGCACAATACATATGCAACATCAGAGAAATTGTAATTACAGTATAAAATGAATTCAGTATAGCAATCACAGCATTGCTTTGTTCTGGAAAGAATATGTAATACATTAACACGTTTTATCACTGTGCTGAATGTAGAAAAGATCTGACCCTGATGACAATTCTGTCCAGTCCATCCAGTCTGGCAAGCGCATCTGTACCCTGGGTGTCCGCCAATTTGGTTCACACAGCGTCCATTTAGGCACCGTTTCATTTTCATGGCACACTCATCTATGTCTGTGTAAAAATGATCTCGTCAACAAATAAACTTAACTGTTAGCCATCTATTGTCATCGACATATCGGCTATCATTTAACGTTATGTCTAACAAGGCTGGGGGCAAAACAGTATAACTTGAAATAATTAATTGTCAAACAACCACTAAAACAACAGCAGTGCCAGAGAAATGCATGCCGAGGCACAAAATGCTTATCTCCAAGCAGATTCTAGGGTAGCAAAAGGTAGTATCAAATTGGCCAGGCAGTATCCATTGGCCAGAGAGGGTCTTTTGTCACTAAACATATTCCATGCTTATTATAGGCATAACACCTAGACTGAGATCAAGAATGGAATAGATTAGGGGAAAAGACGATATACGTTATATAGTATAGTATTTTGTATACGCATGTAAAATTGAATGTATAAATTATATGTACAGAGTTAACCTGGCTGACAATTCTTTCCAGTCAATCTAGGGTCACAGATGCATTTGTATTTTGCCATTCAAGTTCACACAGGTCCCTTGAATACTTATTTATGTCTTTGTGAAAACTAAAATGTGTCTTGTTATTGCGCACTGAGACAGCTTTGAGCCGGAAGACGTCCCGCAAATGCAATGTATATGGTTAACATTCAATAGAAATGCAAACCTTCCTGACAGTTCTGTCCAGTCCATCCAGGTAAGCAGTGGCATTTGTATCCGCCATTTTGGTTCACACAGGTCCCACGTCGACACGGTTTCGTGACGTAACACTCATCCACGTCTGTGTGAAAACGGAAATGTGTCTTGTCATTGCGCATTGAAGCAATTTTGAGCCTAGTTACAGCCCGTAAATGTAACGTATATGGTTATAATTGCGGAAAAGGAAAAAGCAAACCTTTCTGACAGGACAGTCCAGTCCATCCAGGTTTACAGTTGCATTTGTATCCGCCATCTTGGTTCACACAGCTTCCATGTCGACACGGTTTCCCGACGTCACACTCATTCACGTCTGTGTGAAAACGAAAATGTTACTTGTCATTGCACACTGTTTAGACCCAAACTACAGCCCGCGAATGCAGTGTATAAGCAAATACAAACCTTGCTGACAGTTTTGTCCAGTCCATCCAGGGTCACAGGTACATTTGTATCCGCCATCTTGGTTCACACAGCGTCCTTGTTGACATGGGTTCCTGGCACACTCATTTATGTCTGTGTGAAAACGAAAATGACTGTCTTGTCATTGTGCATTGAATCAATTTTGAGCCGAGTTACATACTGGGAATGGTAAAGAAGTCACCTTGCTGACAGTTTTGTCCAGTCCATCCATGTGAGCAGGTACATTTGTATCCGCCATCTTGGTTCATACAGCGTCCATGTTGGCAGGGTTTGCTGGTACACTCATCAATGTCTGTGTGAAAACGAAAATGTGTTTTTTAGACGAGTTACACCCTGCAAATGTACTGTATATGGTTATCCTTGTAGAAAAGGAAAATACTCACCTTGCTGACAGTTCTGTCCAGTCCATCCAGGAGTGCAGGTACATTTGTATCCGCCACCTTGGTTCACACAGGTCCCATGTTGACATGGGTTCCTGATACACTCATTTATGTCTGTGTGAAAACGGAAAAGGGAGGCCATTAACACACATGTAACCAATATTGAGCCTACGATGGTAGAGTATATGGATATGTTTGATATGATGGCCTAAAAGTAAAGAACTCACCTTGCTGACAGTTCTTTCCATCCCATCCAGGGTCACAGGTACATTTGTATCCGCCATCTTGGTTCACACAGGTCCCATGTTGGCAGGGTTTGCTGGCACACTCATTGATGTCTGTGTGAAAACGAAAATGACTGTCTTGTCATTGTGCATTGAATCAATTTTGAGCCGAGTTACATACTGGGAATGGTAAGGAAGTCACCTTGCTGACAGTTCTGTCCAGTCCATCCATGTGAGCAGGTGCATTTGAATCCACCATTTCGGTTCACACAGCGTCCATGTTGGCATGGGTTCCTGGCACACTCATTTATGTCTGTGGGAGAACGAAAATGTGTTTTTGAGGCGAGTTACATACTGCAAATGTACTGTATATGGTTATCATGGCAGAAAAGGAAAATACTCACCTTGCTGACAGTTCTGTCCAGTCCATCCAGGAGCGCAGGTACATTTGTATCCGCCACCTTGGTTCACACAGCGGCCATGTTGACATGGGTTCCTGACACACTCATTGATGCCTGTGTGACAACGGAAAAGGGAGGCCATTAACACACATGTAACCAATATTGAGCCTACGATGGTAGAGTATATGGACATGGTTGATATGATGGCCGAAAAGTAAAGAACTCACCTTGCTGACAGTTCTTTCCATCCCATCCAGGGTCACAGGTGCATTTGTATCCGCCATCTTGGTTCACACAGCGGCCATGTTGGCAGGGTTTGCTGGTACACTCATTGATGTCTGTGTGAAAACGTGGAAAAAAGTGGCTCATTCATTCTCATGGAGTCAATATTGAGATGATTTACAGTCCACGATGGCAGGATATATGGTTAATATAATATGATTTTAATGTACTCGCCTTGCTGACAGTTCTGTCCAGTCCATCCAGGGTCACAGGTGCATTTGTATCCGCCATCTTGGTTCACACAGCTTCCATGTTGACATGGGTGTCTGGCACACTCATTTATGTCTGTGTAGAAACGAAAATGACTGTCTTGTCATTGTGCATTGAATCAATTTTGAGCCAAGTTACATACTGGGAATGGTAAAGAAGTCACCTTGCTGACAGTTTTGTCCAGTCCATCCATGTGAGCAGGTACATTTGTATCCGCCATCTTGGTTCATACAGCGTCCATGTTGGCAGGGTTTGCTGGTACACTCATCAATGTCTGTGTGAAAACGAAAATGTGTTTTTTAGACGAGTTACACCCTGCAAATGTACTGTATATGGTTATCCTTGTAGAAAAGGAAAATACTCACCTTGCTGACAGTTCTGTCCAGTCCATCCAGGAGTGCAGGTACATTTGTATCCGCCACCTTGGTTCACACAGCTTCCATGTTGACAAGGGTTCCTGACACACTCATTTATGTCTGTGTGAAAACGGAAAAGGGGTGCCATTAACACACATGTAACCAATATTGAGCCTACGATGATAGAATGTATGGATATGGTTTATATGATGGCCGGAAGAAAGAACTCACCTTGCTGACAGTTCTTTCCATCCCATCCAGGGTCACAGGTGCATTTGTATCCGCCATCTTGGTTCACACAGGTTCCATGTTGGCAGGGTTTGCTGGTGCACTCATTGACGTCTGTGCGAAAACGTGGAAAAAAGTGGCTCATTCATTCTCATGGAGTCAATATTGAGATGATTTACAGTCCACGATGGCAGGATATATGGTTGATATAATATGATTTTAATGTACTCGCCTTGCTGACAGTTCTTTCCAGTCCATCCAGGGTCACAGGTGCATTTGTATCCGCCATCTTGGTTCACACAGGTCCCATGTTGGCAGGGTTTGCTGGTACACTTATCAATGTCTGTGTGTAAACGAAAATGACGGTCTTGTCATTGTGCATTGAAGCAATTTTGAGCCGAGTTACTGTAAATGCAGTGTGAAGAATTCCATAAAGGTTAAGTACTCGCCTTGCTGACAGTTCTGTCCAGTCCATCCAGGTTTGCAGGTGCATTTGAATCCGCCATCTTTGTCCACACAAGTTCCATGTTGACAGGGTTTGCTGGTGCACTCATTGATATCTGTGTGAAAACAGAAAAGAGGTATTGTCTTTGCGCACTGAAGCAGTTTGTATGATAATAAAACAGCCTACAGATTCTGTGCTCATGGTTATTATTGCATTAGTTAGAAGTACGGAACTCAGAACACCTTGCTGACAATTCTGTCCAGTCCATCCGGAAGTGCAGGTACAGTTGTATCTGCCATTTTGGTTCTCACAGCGTCCATGTTGACATGGGTTTCCGGTACACTCGTTTACATCTATGTTGAAACATGAAGATACATTGTGTATATAGCCGAAGTAATATGTAAGAAACCAACAATTTCAATCAATGTTTATACAACAAATCCATGTACCATGCTGACAATTCTGTCCAGTCCATCCAGGAGTGCAGGTGCAGTTGTATCCGCCATCTTGGTTCACGCAGGCCCCATGCAGACAGGGCTTCTTGGCACATTCATCCACGTCTGCAGAGGAAAAAAACGCTGTTATTTAATAAAACAGCATCTGTGTTTTTCTTGTGCAATGGCAACAAGCAAAAGTTGTTTCCTATAATTGTACCATTGCTGATTCACAGTCATTTTGGGTTTTGTCCTTGAAGCAAGAGGCTCTTCTCAATATGTATATGCCTTGACAAAGTCAAAGAGTGTATTTTGGCAGAAATCAGCCGGAAATCCAACCAAATAATCTTATATTCTATTATAATTGCGCACAGCATGCAGACGGGCCGCATGACGTACCGAGCTGCTGTACAACTTAGCTTTGCTATTGAGTCAATGTTGTCAACATTGCTAACCTGTGGTAGTCAGAGGCCCGGCGGTTGTTGGCAAGGTTGCAGTCAAGTTGGTGTTTGCAACAGAGTTTGATCCAAATGCAGAAGGCGACGTCGGAACGACAGAAGTCGAGATGTTTCCCTTGTAGAGCGTCGTCAGTTGAGGAGCACTGGACTTCATTTTCATCGGTGGTGAAGAGGATGAAGTCGAATTAGCAACTTCGGAGCCGTTTTCCTTGTGTAGAATCGTCGACAAGGGAGTGCCTGGCTTCGTGAGCTTCAGTGGCAAGGCCGAGGGTGGGGCCGAGGGCGGGACCGAGGGCGCAGTCGAGTAGGGAACGGTAGAGTTGTCATCCCTGTCAGGCGTCATCACCCAAGGGGTACCCGTCTTCTTCTGACCGGCGAGCGCTCCGACCAACACGGCATCTTCGCTCTTTGAATCCCAAACCAGAATAGACAATTCCATGTCATTCACGAAAGTGGGGTGTTTCCATGATGAGCCAATATGATAATATTTTGTAGCCTTATCTTTTGTAAAAATCATGGTCCAGATCACGAGATATCAAAATAAGAAGTTCAGATGCGGTACCATAACAAGCCGCTAGGGTACCCAAAATCTAATCATGTCGAGCTCTCATCAAGACCTACGCACCTAACTACCAAATATCAAGATAATCCATTAAAGCCTTCTCGAGTTATGTTGTTCACACACACACACACACACACACACACACACACACACACACACACACACACACACACACACACACAGGTAATAAGCCCACCTTCTTCTCAGGTACAAGATAAGTAGCCAGGATGGTAGCGGTAACACATGACCCAATGATCAGAAGGGAGCACCCAAGTGTAAGCCAGAACACCCTGCCGGATACCATACGGTTCCACATTTCCTTAACACGATCTGGGATAGGACAGAAGTTAAAAAGGGCAAAACATCAAACCTGGATATCCCAAGTTTAAGTTTTATTGGGAAAGGGACTCACAGACCAGGTTAGCCCAAATTGCGCCCTACATACAATATGCACTATATGAAAATTACAGAGACACTATAAAAATCATACCTACATGAAAACACACACTACGGGGCACATACGTCGTACAATTGTTGTAAATCACCATGCAATCCCAAACTGAAGACATTCTTGGGATATCGATAGTAGTGCATGTGTCCTTGAAAATTCAGACCGAAAAGACTGCTTTAGATTTAGATCCTTAACAGCCTTTCTGAAAACACTGCGACATAAAAACCATACGAAGACCTACGACTAATGCGACCTTGGCATAATTTACATCAATCATGAATCAAAATTAACGATTGTAAATCTTATCATTTGCTAAACCTTCTTGTTGCTAGCAACTATTCAAAACTAAAAGCATAGTCTCTCCTATATATTGCACCAAGAAGTACTCTAATCTGTACAATCTCAATCTAGTTTTTTTTTTCATTTTTGTACAGTACTTTTATACAGTAATTTAGAATTAGTCAAATTATAGTAACCTTCAATTTTTTTCTGATAAGGCCGGCCACACCAATTTAATTTGTTGTTTCTCGGATTCGCCATGTCCATTGTTTTCTGATTTGCAAAAAAAAAATAGATTCTGAATCAACTGCAAGATGCTGTGGCCTAAGTAGTTTTTTAAGTTTCTAAACGTACCTTTAGCCTTGTACCAAAAGCTTACTTCCTCGGGGTGGTTGTAGACGTTTTCTGACTTGTCGTTGACATCTGAGCTGGAATCTTCCTTGTGCCCCGAACACGCCACGACGTGGTCCCCCATGTGGAGGTAGCGCGGCTCGAGGGGTGTGTAGTTACGAGCAGCGGCACGCTTTCTGTTCCCATACAAACCAGAAGATGCCTCCTTTTTGGGTGTCTTGGCGAACGTATGTTCATACGCATTGTTGGTAGGCTTGGCATCCTTGTGCTTGACTTTCGGATCTTTTTTGTGGGTTTCCACCTCTTCTTTCCCTTTTGGGGGCTTTGGAGCTGCGGTGTAGATGTTGGGTTCGGTCCGGGGAGCTGAGGAGCTGACGTAGGCATCCTTCCCGTTCGGTGACTTTTCTTTCGACTTTGGTTTTTCCTTCGTACCTTCGTCTTCCTTTTCATCCTCCTTTTCTTTTGACCATGGCTCTTTCTCAGTGCCCACGTCTTCCTCTACCCCCTCCCCTTTCAGGGACGTTTCTTCCATAAGTGGCTTTTTCTTAGGAGACGACATTTCTGCGTTGGAACATTATGAAAGCGCAGTTAAAGCGTAGGTTTAAAGAAAGGGCCTGTTTTTTTTGGCACTACCGAACGAGACCTGGATGGAGACCGGCGGGCTTCCCGACGGCTGCCGGCCTATTTTTGGCCCCGCGCGGTCGCCGAATTGATTTTAACTCAAACTTAAAATCACCCCGAGCCCCGGTGGGAATAGCACGCCGGGACGAAGCCGTAACCTCGAACCCAGCATATATCAGCCAGGGACCCGCCAGGATCACCCCTTGGCCCCGACAGAGACCCAAAAGCTGCCCGGCCGAACTGCTAGAGCCGGTTGGCACCCTACTGCACTCCGAACGAGTCAAGACGGTAGACTGACCGGGCACCGGACGGGTCCCTAAGATTACCCGGCCGTCAAAGGGATCAAAAGTTGTGAATTTGAAATAGAAGCCGCCTCAGCGCCGTAAAAGAACATTTAATTGTGACCTTGACAGCCGGCACACGCTCGGCTTCATGACGCCGGCCGGCCTCTACACCGAGAACATGCCGAGCAGGCCCCGTTTCAAATGTGACTCAAGCTTACTGAACTGCATCCTTTTATGATAAGGTCACATTTCCAAACCGGGACCCGGCCGGGCTGTATGTATGAACGAAAAATTACCAATTTATATCAAGAATATAGAAAAATAGTGCCCATGATTATTATCAAAAACTTTTCTATGTTTTGTTTCCTTGTTGTACAGTCACGTACAAACAACATGAACAACAAAAGAATTAATTGTCAGTGTGTGTGCGCGTCATGTATGTTTGCGGGTGCATGTGTGAGTGTGCGTGTGCGTGTGTGTGCGCGCGCGTTTGTATGTGTGCATGACTTGTGTACATATGTGTGCGTGCTTGCGTACTAGTGTTTGTGTATAGATAAAATCAGATAGAAATACCTCAGCATGGTCCCATGTTGACAGCAAACGTTTTCAGTCAGAGAACCTCACTGTCGGTCCATTTGTACCGCCAGCATGCGGCAATACTGAGGAGGGATCACATATGTGCATGTATGATATTATACAGTCATGCCAATTGAATGCGTAGTAAGAGAAGCAGTAGACAAATTTCGAGAAAACTTAATTAAAATCCCACCTACGCGTATAATATCGGTTCTATGAAGTACCAGAGCAAAAGATTACTTTACATCAACAATCATTCTCTTTATTTACATCAGGTACCTACAAATATGATATTTTAGTGGAATATACCCATTATGAGTTTGTAATTAAATTATTGGTTGATAAATGAAGTGGTCTTCACCAGTGATAAGTTTGTAGATAAGCCTTCGCTGGTATTTTGTTAAATTTTGTAAGCCTTTTTGAAGAGTTAATTTGTTACATAATGTATCTTTATGTAATGATACGTGTCAGACATTCGCATTGCGTCCTTGGTGGGGTAACCTGCGTTTACTACGTGCTTTGTAGTAACAACAGTACACTGTACATAATGTCGATATGTTGAAGTGATATAATATAATCAGTTTTCTAAGATTTTGCATGCATTCTGGCTTAATAGTTCTTATTCCAACCAGCTTTTTTACTATATTCATTTTCTTAAGTCGTTTATGATTTTTATTTTAATAACACATACCAAAAATCATGACGAGCCGTCGACCGTTTTTATAGTTATCCTCCCCTGAATTTTTTAAACAAACTGTCTTGCAGTTCCAGAACAAGCTGCTAGGGGGCCTTAACTCGCGTGACTTCTTTCCAAGCACAAGAGCTACCTACCATCCAACATTCATGACCTTAGCATGTCCAGATCACGAGATATCAAAACCGGAAGTTTCGCTGCAGTACCAAGGGAAGCCACTAGGGGGCCAAAAATCTTATCATTTCTAGATGTAGTCACACCCTATGGACTCACCAAGTATGAAAATCAATCCATCTAGCCGTTTTTTAGTTATCTTATTGACAAAATTTAGTTCCCCAGGGAATGCATTCGTGGAATTTTTAGAATATTTTCAACTCAGTCGCAGTACTAAACAAGTTGAGTCTTAAAAAAGACTCTGGCGACGGTTTTTTTCTGTAATATGTTGGTTGGTGGCCCCGATTTTATTTGTGCATCTCCCGTCAACGTACCAGCCCACCCCCGGTAAATATCGTACAATCCCTGGTGTCGGTCAGTGACCTAAATTAAAACACAGCATGTCTCTCCTATACCTTATGACCGTGCCTCTGGACCAAGAGGTTGGGAGTTCGAATCCCGACCAAACATACACAATGTCGCATACAATGTACCTTGCTAACTATATTCAACATGCATTCAATTTAGCTTGATAAACAACGGATGTATTTTGAGTTTGAGTATTGCATGCGGCTTCTTTCCACCATCATCAACCTCGGCTGACGTGTGCGGGACTGTACTCGTGTTAGACCTGTAACAGTTTAAACAAACCATATTACTTTATTGCCATGTATTGCCTGGCGTAAATTAGCAGGTGCTCAGGTAAAGTGCGCCTCACCTCATGCGATAAAACCTGAAAATTTTGGAAGTCCATTCTTACCGACATACTCATACACCAAGTTCTGTTTCCAACAGCCCTCTAAAAATGTTAGGTTTTTTTGTTCCGTGTTTACCAAATTGTCAGGGGCTATTTGTCAGTCTATTTGTCAAACCCTGTCAAGCTGGGCAGAAGGTACCTCCCTAAAGGTGGGGCTTACGGTACAATATTCTTAACTACTCACATTTACAACATATGGCAGTTCTAAAGATTCTACGCATATCTAGCTTTTGCACACTTAAGCATGTCCATAATGGAAAATGGTTGCTAAAGATGGTCCGATACGCCACCCTTGGCTGTCTTATACCACCCTGGGATCTGCTTGGAGGTTAGTCAGTTGGTGCCTATATAATACAGAGTTCTTCACTAGTTTAGTACGAATGAAATTCCTTTGGCTTCTGGGGCGGATCCTAGGTGGCCAATCCGGACCGTGTGTGAAGGCGGGGCTACAGATAACGAGGCAGACAATAAAAGATCATTGCCAAGGCCACGACTGAATGATTATTATTGCATGTTGTGGAGCTAGAAATCTCCATTACAATAATAGGAAAAACAGATTATTATTTTATAAACGCGTGCCTGTACATAGTGGAATTTACAGGATGCATGGAGGAGGTGTGAGGCTGTATACATGTCAGCCCTTCTTCCCCGGCAATATGATGATATACTTAGTTACTTTACTTTACTTTGGTCAAATTCCCGCTCGAACCAACAAAAAACACTTTCCACTTCACTCTATATTCCTCCATCAGAGACTGTAATTTACGTCTGATGTGAGGTTGTCAATTTAGTTACTCCTCGGACTTCTTTGACCTATCCTGGGTTCCCAAAGAAAGTATAATTTCTCTCTATGTGATCTGTCCATGGTGGGGGATGGCAGATGGCAATAATTAATCACGCCGGACACCTGGATGGGTGGTGTATATTACTCTGAGGTAATAGATACCCCCAGTTAAAGTTACTGTTATTCTAAGATAGGCCAATAGGATGGAATCTAGGAAACAGGATACTACTGTCCATGGTGGGGGATGGCAGATGGCAATAATTAATCACGCCGGACACCTGGATGGGTGGTGTATATTACTCTGAGGTAATAGATACCCCAGTTAAAGTTACTGTTATTCTAAGATAGGCCAATAGGATGGAATCTAGGAAACAGGATACTACTGTAGGGGCGGAGCTTCCATTCCTTTTACTTACTTTCTCACAAAAGTCTAAACCAGTCAGGCTGTAGCTGTGTGGTGGAACAGAAGTGTGCTTGGTAGGGACCTCTTGGCAAAAACTCTACAGGCATGACACTGACACATCGGGCTACCAGTTGAGCCGGCGGGGAAAAACTATCAGATCCCCCGTAGAGAGTTATGGCCACATCAGCCCAGTACACCGGGCTTTCTGGTCCTGTACGAAAGACAGCGCGGATGGACCATGCTTGGCGGCCGTACAGTCCTTCCAGCACCGCAGAGATATCGGGCAGCCCACGATGGTTTGATAAATACCATACCAGGCTCGTCCAGGCCTAAGGTAAGCTGAGAGGTATGTTTCACCGTATATTATTTTGTACTTCCTTATGTTATTTGATGTGTTACATACCTGTAACAAATGTTGCGATTGTAGCCGTGACGTCTGTACCCCTGCAATTCTGTCGCAAAATAATCTAGTATTTTTTGTATTTATAAACCCGTCCTTAGGAAGTTGTTAATTGTGGTTTTAAATGGGGTCACCACTATATGTGAAGAAGAATTACATGTATGACCTTCGATTTGGCAATGTATTACAGTTTACGATAATGTCGACAGTAATTTTCCCCATAGTCATAGTGCCATCGTGAAGCAGTTCTTGTGATCTTCGGAAATTGTCCATAGAAAAATTCTTTACGTCTTTGTAGAGAAAGTACAATTTGGTTGTGATTTGTGAAATATTCTATTACATTGAAGAATTCTTAACTACATGTTTTATGTTCGCT